CAGGAATGGGGTGACCTGGATGAGCAGCAGAAGGACCTTTACAAGAGCGTCATGAAGAGCAACTTTGAGACTTTGGTTTCGCTGGGTGAGGGAGGCTCTCTTTCCTCCGATGCGTAGAATGTGAGAGTGACCTGTTTTTATTGTTGATTTGTTTTATTGACTTCACTGATGAAACCCCAGGTTTCTCCCCCTTAGAGACCCAACGTGGCTGACAATTCTCTCATTTTATCCTCATAACAACCCTGTGGTGTAGGTTAGGCGGAGAGTAAGTGACTGGCCCACGATCACCCAGCAGCCTTCTATGACGCAGCAGGGGTTTGAACCTGAGACTCCCCGCTCCTACCCTGACCCTTTAACCACTACACCACTCTGGCTGGCCGTGCGTGGGGATAGGAATGCTTGCCCTTGGAGACTTGTCTAAAACGTTTGCTCAGCACCCTCTTGGACCACTGAGAAGCACTTTTACATTACTGAGCTTTCAGGAGACGCTGCTTGGATACATCCCCCTTCCCCTTCTGCTCTTTCCCCCTCTCCCCTGCCCCAACATGTTTGTGGGGGAAAAGGACAGTAAGCCAGATGGAATGCTGCGTTCTGCAGAGTGACTAATTGGGGGTGGGGGGGCACATAATTATGTTAGATCCTTAGAACTGCTAGGGTCACATCTGGGAATATCTGTTTCCTCAAGAGCAGGAAAGTAATTTGATAGGGGACTAGCTGAACAGCTCAGTGTTTGCAGGAAGGTCCTGTCTTTAAACAAACAAACATGGATCTGTAATGATTTGGAAGTGTCCCTTTCTGCTTGAGACCTTGGTGATCTGCTGTTTAGGGTATGGGTGTGCACCAAAAAAAAAATTCAGAATTTTCCGGGTTCGGATCTACCGAACCCGAAAAATGTCGGTATTTGCTGATTTTCCCAAATCCCAGTACTGGTATGATACTGGGGTTCGGGAATGATTGGACTAGCCAAATTTATTTGGCTCAATTATATACTATGGGGACTGTCCCCATAGGGTATAATAATCCCCCCTTGAAGGGGGGGGGTTCTTATTGCCTTCCCTTCGGTGATAGCCTGCTGCCACCCGAGCTAGCTATTTTGGGGGGGGAGGCATTTAAACATGCCTCCCTGTGCCTTCCCTGGCCTGCCCGCCAAAGTAGACAAGCCAGGGAAGGCCTGGAGTGAGCCCCTGGTGCCTTCCCTGGCCCGCCCACTGAGGTGGACGAGCTGGGGAAGGCCTGGAAGGAGCAGGGAGGCATTTTAAATGCTTCCCTGTGCTTTCTCCAGCCCGCCGCCCCTGCTTCTGGGGTTCGTGCGGCCTTCGCAGCGCGACTCCTCAGCCAAGGGAAGTTATTTAAAGTTTAAATTCCTTCCCTTGGCTGGGTAGTCACTCAACTGAGGCGGCACGAGCCCCTGTTAGCAAGTTCCCTTCCCCGCCCAGCAAAGGGATTCCCTGAATGGATACCGAATATACGCTATCCATTCAGGGAATCCCTGTTTGGCCAGCCGAATCAGATTAGGGAATGTGATTCGGCTTTCAGCATGCCCGAATAATGCCGAATAGTTTTTCGGTTTGTCCGAACCGAATAGTTTTCCCTAGTCTAGGGCAGAGAAACCCAGAGTTTGATTCAGAAGAAGGCAACTCTGGATCTCTCTGACACCTTTTGTTACCTGCTTGGAACCTGACTGTGCTGCTCGGGGAGCAGGGGGGCTTGTATCTCAGCCACCAGCTGGAGTCCCACTGGGGAGAAGAGCAGATTATAAATGAATTAATAGACTTCTTTTCCAGAATGTAGAGTTGTCACTCACCAGGCAACCTTTGGTGTCAGTGATTAATTGTCAGTTTTTTGTTCATCGGTTTTATAGTACGAACAACCTGTTCAAATTCACTTGTTTGTATCTGAAGAAGAACAGAGCTTTTAAATGCATTTTAACCCAGCCTCCTCCCAAGGCTGCAGCTGAGCTGTCAGTCGTTTAAGGCAGCGTCCGCTAGGCCAGGATCGTGCCACCGGGGCCTCCGTGGTCTTTGCCGTTCTTTCTTCACCTGGTCGGTCAGCTGTGTTGATTTGAAAGTCAGGGCAAGTCTCTTTCTACCTTCTGTAACTGTCTGCTCCTGATGTTAATGAGTGACATGTGATGACCTCCTATTCTTCTATCCAATGAACAGATTACGCCATCGCCAAGCCCGAAATCCTGTCCAAGATAGAGCAAGGACAGGAAGTATGTGCGAGAGGCCCTGGCATTTCAGGTGGGAGCAGTGCCCCACCGGACCTCGGCACAGGTGCGTTGGCAGACATCTGCAGCCCTGAGCTTTTCTCGTGGTAGAGTTTGGAAACGGGGGACATCTGACCTGGAGGGGCCCGCGTCTCTTCGTTGGGGGTTGGGGAGGAACGGACTTGCAAGCCCCATTCCTTTGGGTTGCCAGGAGATTGGAAAGCCCGGTGACCGTCCTGAGTCTCAGCTGGGTGACGATGCCACCCCTTTCCTCACTTCCAGTGGTTTGGGGGTGGGGGTACCAGAAACATACTGGGGCAGTGCCATCCCCACCAGCAAATCAAAGGGTATCTCCCACTGGATGGATCTGTACACCCAGCACTCTGTTACATTTGGAGGCTCTGGAGAGTTGCCGCCTCTCTCAGTTGGTTCCTCCAAGCTAGCAGGGGGACCGGAGACCGTGCTTTTGCAATTCTGAGTTGTCACACTCAAGGGAGGGGGAGTTTACCCGCTGCCCCCCCCCATCACCACATTTTAGCTCACAAGACCAAATAGATTTGTGTGCAGCTCTGCCTAGCACCTGGTGTTGTGTGTGTGTGTGTGTGTGTGTGTGTGCGTGTGTGTGTGTGTGTGGAGAAGCCACCCACGGTATGCTTTCCCCTCTTCTCCGCAGACTCCCCAGTGGCTCCAGTGGACGTTTCTTCGTGGCTTAAGCAAGAGGTGGAGGAGCGACCAGGCGGGATCGCTGGGCCCCCCGAGGAGGCAAGAGAGTCCAGCAGTGGTTCCCACACAGGTGAGGCCTCAATTAGGGTCACTTACTGCTCATGCTTGGTTCTCGAGGAAGAACAAATGGACCTGGACCGAGACATGTCCTCTTCTGTCCTTTTTTTTTTTTCCGGGGGGTGTGTGTGTGTGGTGCCCGAAGGCTGGGTTGTAAGAGGCCTGCTCACCTAAGGGGTCTCACAGAAAAAGCCAGTGTGACGTCGTGGTCAAGAGTGGTGGCCTTTAAGCTGGAGAGCGGGGGCGGGGGTTTGATTCCCCACTCTTCCTTCACGTGCAGCCTGCTGGGTGACCTCGGACCAGTCCCAGTTCTCTCAGAGCCCTCTCTGCCCTGTCTCACAAGGGTACCTGTTGAAGGTCGGTAGTTCAGCAGTTCGAGCCCCAGGTTGCCGCATGACGGAGTGAGCTCCCGTCTCTAGTTCCAGCTCCTGCCAGCCTAGCAGTTCGAAAGGAAGAAATTGCAAGCAGATAAATTAGTAGCTGCGGTGGCTCAAGCGGTTAAGACGCTGAACTGCAGGCTGTGGAAGGTCGGTAGTTCAGCAGTTCGAGACCCAGGTTGCCGCATGACGGAGTGAGCTCCCGTCTCTAGTTCCAGCTCCTGCCAGCCTAGCAGTTCGAAAGGAAGAAATTGCAAGTAGCTGCGGTGGCTCAAGTGGTTAAGACGCTGAACTGCAGGCTGTGGAAGGTCGGTAGTTCAGCAGTTCGAGACCCAGGTTGCCGCATGACGGAGTGAGCTCCCGTCTCTAGTTCCAGCTCCTGCCAGCCTAGCAGTTCGAAAGGAAGAAATTGCAAGCAGATAAATTAGTAGCTGCGGTGGCTCAAGCGGTTAAGACGCTGAACTGCAGGCTGTGGAAGGTCGGTAGTTCAGCAGTTCGAGACCCAGGTTGCCGCATGACGGAGTGAGCTCCCGTCTCTAGTTCCAGCTCCTGCCAGCCTAGCAGTTCGAAAGGAAGAAATTGCAAGCAGATAAATTAGTAGCTGCGGTGGCTCAAGCGGTTAAGACGCTGAACTGCAGGCTGTGGAAGGTCGGTAGTTCAGCAGTTCGAGACCCAGGTTGCCGCATGACGGAGTGAGCTCCCGTCTCTAGTTCCAGCTCCTGCCAAGCAAGGGAACCTTTACCTTTACCTTTAGACACCAAGAAAGGTGTTAACAGGTATCATGGCGCCCACGGGCACCGAGTTGGGGAATCCTGGTCTTGAGCTTTTCTTCAGCTCCTTTTCCCCTCCACTCTGTTGTGTGACTTATGTACTGCCCTGCTGCTGTTTGCTTTGGCTGCAGGGCACGCTCTTTCTCCCGAGAGCCAGTCTGGTGTTGTGGTGAAGTGTCCGGACTCTAATCTGGGAGAACTGGGGTTTGATTCCCCACTCCTCCACTCGCAGCTGCTCATATGACCTTCGGTCCGTCACAAGTTCTCTCAGAGCTGTTCTCTCTCTCTCTCTCTCTCTCTTTTTTTAAATCCCCGGAGGGATATTTTTAATATTTTTATAAGACTAGAAAACTACAAAGAAAATATGAAGGAAAGGGACTACATCTATGGATAAAAGAAAGATAACCACACTAAACTAAAAACCCAAGAGGAGGAGATCATATCCGTGTTAAACTAAGTGTTATTTATTAAAGTGTTAGTACAACAATGTACTTGTATTCTTGTTCTCTCAAGGGCAGTTCTCGAAAGAGCTCTCTCAGCCCCACCTACCTCCCAGGGTGTTTGTTGCGGGGAGGGGAAGGGAAAGGAGATTGTAAGCCGCTCCGAGTAAAGGGCGGGGTACAAATCCAGTCTCTTCTCTTCTTCTTCTGAGCTTCCTGGCCTGCCAGGCAGTCTTGCTTCCATCCCCCTTTCTTGCTGTGCAGAACCTTTTCTCTCAGGCTGTGTGTGAGACTTCTCCCTGTCTAGTCAAGGCAACACTCTGTGCCATCCTCTGCCGTAGGTGCCTCGATTGCTGCAGTGGGCACTTCCCCGTGGATTAAAGAAGAGGTGGAGGAGGTGTGCTTTGACCCGGGGGCCTGCAGCGAAAGAGCTCTCCACTGCAGCTCTTCCCTGGGTGAGTCTTGCCTTTGGCCTCCCTCAGTTCCAGGGTTATGCTTGTCCTTGCGAAGAACCTGTGAAGTCTGCCCATTCTCCCTCAGGACGTGGGCGTGGATGCTGTTTTGTTCCAAGATCACAGCTCAGAAAGTTCAAGATTCATCGCTTACGTGTACAGTCTTAAAGCCTTGGATGGGTTGGCCTTCTTTTCCACCATCCCCTTTGCCTGGGTTCTGTTTCTTTGTGTCTTTGTTTTGTTTCTTCTTGGGATGAAATTTATGTTGGAACGTGTCTCTCCTTGGCTTTAATGCATTTGTGGGACTAGGTTGACCCAGACATCGAAAAGTGAGAGTTATTTCCTGAAAATGATGGCGATAGGCCAGCATTATGAAGGTGGTGTCAAGCTCCTTAGGTCACACCACACAGGGCTTCATAAGAAGATAACTGTTTATTAGTGGTTCCAGTACCAAAGAACACGTGTACAGATTGTGTCAGGAATGGCTGTCAGTACTAGGGCCTCTGACTTCTAGTGAAATCATACATTCCCCCTGTAAGCATAAGCCAATGGATATAGTGCGCACGGGCAGCAAAGCAAGCAGGCATAGCAGAGAAGCCGTTAACTTTCCCAGCTGTGTAAGCTGCAGCTGGAACATCTACAAGGTCAAGCGTAAGATAAAACACAGTAGCTGAGCAGGAGAGAGCTGGGAACGAGGAGGAGGATACCCCTCCACATTCCAGATCTATGACAGGGCTACCTGACAGGTGGGTGGTTTCCCCTCCACAAACATTTTGATGCAGTTGGCTTGAGAAGGGGAGATTTCCAGAGCACCAGTTTCATTAGACCAGGGGTGGCCGTGGCCAAACTTGCTTCATGTAAGAGCCACATAGACTAATCGTCAGATGTTTGAGAGCCGCAAGACACGAACACAGGCATTTTTATTGAAAAATATACATATTTGCATATTAAATCAAAGAGACAAATGCCTTCTCCGAGCCAAGCCAGTCGACACTTTTAACTTTAGATGGGGAGGGAGGGGAGAAAGACAGAAAGGTGGAAAGAAAGCAAATAGTTGGAGGGTGGAAAGAAAGCAAGTGGAAAGAAAGCAAATAGAGGGAGCCACACAAGATGTGTCAAAGAGCCGCATGCGGCTCCCGAGCAACAGTTTGGCCACCCCTGCATTAGACCCTCTTACTGGCTGTTTCCCATTCCCAAAGACACACTGAATTTGGAGAACGAGGCAGGCAGGGCCATGCAGGGGGCAGTTTTATATTCCCGCGAATTCCCTGGAAATTCACCTGCAGGTCTGTTCTTCAAGGTAGCTTGGCTGCCTTTCTGATTCCCTCCTGACAGGCTATCAGTCTGAGGTTCGTCTCCTCTTGAGAGCCAGCGTAGTGTCCGTGGCTAAGAGCGGCAGACTAATCTGGAGAACTGGGTTTGATTCCCCACTCCTCCTCCGCATGCAGTCTGCTGGGTGACCTTGGGCCAGTCACAATGCTCCCTCTAAGCTTTAGAGTCTTGTGAGCAGAAATTCTACTTTGTGAGCTACTGGCATTGAAGTTTGGCCACTGCGTAAATTAGTTTGCTCTGGAGCCGTTGTTCCTGAGCGAAGGCAAAAATGTGTGAGCCGGAGGCTAAAAAACTGTGAGTTAGCTCACACGAACTCAGCTTAGAGGGAACCCTGGTCACAGTTCTCTCGGTGCGCTCCCAGCCCCATCTACCTTGCAGGGTGCTTGTTGGGTTAGCCGGGAGTCGCCTTTTGCTCTCAAGCCTTTGCACGGCTGTTCTGCAGCCAAAGCATCTGCCTGTCTGACTACAGCAGGGAACAGACCCTCTCTGCGGGCCCTTTCCCAGACAGATTTTCAGTGATTCCTACCTAAACAGAGTTACGAGGTTGACTGTTATGTTGGAGAAGAAGCTGAGAAGAGCCCTGACGAGATTCCTCCTTCCTGGACAGAATATCAAGTCGTCACGGTGGAAGACGGGCCTGTAGCTGGACCACAGGAAAGCCCCTACATCCAGGAGCCACGGTTCCTTGGGGAAGGCCCCAGCACCGGTAAGTAGGGAGCAGGACTTCAGAAGTGGTGCGCCCTTCGATTCCCCTGTCCGGGCGCGACTGTCTCTGTGGTGATACAGCTCCTGTCCTGCCGTAGTCACTGTGGTGTTCCAGCCAGGGCTGCCTCTTAGGCTAGGGCGGGAGAGCTGCCTTTCAGAGTGTACAGAGGGGCAGGACTGCTTGTAGGGTTAAAGGGAAAGGCAAAGGTTTCCCTTGCTCGGAAGCCAGTCGAATCCGACTCTAGGGGGCGGTTCTCATCTCCATTTCCAAGCCGAAGAGCCAGCGCTGTCCGAAGACTTTTCCCGTGGTCATGTGGCCGGCACGACTGGACGCCAAGGCGCACGGAACGCTGTTCCCTTCCCACCGAAGCAGTCCCGATTTATCTACTTGCAATTCCTTGCTTTCCAACTGCTATGTTGGCAGGAGCTGGGGCCAGAGACGGGAGCAAAATTTTAAACAGCATTCCCTTCCGTCATGGAGAAAGGCTGGGGGCTCAACGCCTCTTCCCGGAATGTGTGCTTAGTCACTAAATCTGGTTGGGATTTTGCCCCGTTTCCTAAAGCAGCCGACAGCCAAGCCTTTACCCTGGTAAGCATGTCTGAATAGAACTGGATCTAAATGCTTTTAAAAGGTAAAGGTTTCCCTTGCTCATAAGCCAGTCGAATCCGACTCTAGGGGGTGGTGCTCATCTCCGTTTCCAAGCCGAAGAGCCAGCGCTGTCCGAAGACTTTTCCCGTGGTCATGTGGCCGGCATGACTGGACGCCGAGGCGCACGGAACGCTGTTACCTTCCCACAGAAGTGGTACTTATTTATCTACTTGTAATTTCTTGCTTTCCAACTGCTAGGCTGGCAGGAGCTGGGGCCAGAGACGGGAGCTCACTCCGTCACGCAGCACTCGGGTCTCGAACTGCAGAGCTACAGACCTTCCGGCCTGCAGCTCAGCATCTTAACCTCTGAGTCACCGCGGCCCCTTGTAGGGTTACCAACCGCCAGTTAGAGATCTTGTGGAATTCTCTAGATAATAGCCATCAGTTCCTCCGAGAAAGTGGCTGCTGTGGAGGGTGGCATCGATACCCCACTAAACTCACCTTCCTCCCCAACGCTCCACCCCCAGACTTCCAGGGATTTCCCAACTTGGGAGCTGACAACCCTAACTGTTTGGTTGCAATGGAATGGGGACCTGCTGCTGCAAGAAAAACCTAGCAGAACAAGAGGGCAGTCCCTTCCGTGGAGTTCAATCCAGGTGGGCAGCCATGTTGGTCTGAAGCCAGGGCTGGCTCACTCACTAGGTGAACTAGGCAATAGCCTAGAGCAGGACGGCCCTTAGGGGCACCAAACTGCACCCGGCCCCGTACTCTGGGAGTTTCTTGATTATTTGTTTTTTCATTCTTCCTAAAATGCATTTATTTTTGAAAATTGGTGTGTGCACGGGGCCCCCAGAAGGGATCCTCGCCTAGGGTGCAAAATAAGCTGGAGCCGGCCCTGTCTGAAGCGACAGAATAAAGTTAAGAGTCCAGCGGCACGTTTAAGGCCAACAAAGCTTTATTCAAGGTGTGAGCTGCCGCTGGACTCTTAACTTTGTTCTTTCCCTTCCCTGGAGCAGAATTCTTCTCCGTGCACTAACCCCTTAAGCTCCCCTCTCCTCCTAAGAGCACTGGAGTTTTGCCTCAAATGACTGCGTGAGCTACGCCAGGAGCTGGATTTTACGGTTACAGTTCTAAAGGGCTGGGTACCCTCAGGAGTGCCGTGTCGTGGTTAGAGTGCGGGACCGGGTCCGAGCGCTCCAGACTGGAATCCCCACTCTGCCTGCTGGGTGACCTGGGGCCAATCACTCTCTCGTAGCCCCACCCATCTCTAGAGATGTGACATTTCTGGAAATTCTGAAGCTGTGGGGGGGGTTATCTGTGTGAAATAGAAACAGGCTCTTCGGGCCAAAATGCATTTGGTCGGTCGATTATAGCTATTTGAATGTTATTCTTACGTTTGCCCTTATTCCGTTGTATATTTTATCAACATAAGGGGAGGATATTATATCCTACTATTCTACTATTTAAAATCCTACTGCCATTCTAAAATCCTGTATTTTATTGCTTTCTATTCTATTAAAGTCAATACATTCATTAGCTGTTGTAGATTTTCCGGGTTGTATGGACAGGGCCTTGGAATTGTAGGACCTGACGTTTCGCCAGTAGCTGTGACTGGCAAAACGTCAGGTCCCACAGTGCGAAGACCACGGCCATACAACCCGGAAAATCTACAACGGCTAATGAGCTCCGGCCGTGAAAGTCTTCGACAACATATTCAATACATTTACTTTTTCATTTTACTACTTACCCTACTATTGATTTCTTTTGGTTTGGTTTTCTCAACTTTTTGGTTTTCTCTCTTATCTCCCCTGTCCCCAAAACAAACTCTTTCTAGCTTTCGTGCTAGGCAACTGGGGTAATGGTACCACAATAACATTGGCCTTGGACCAAGGAGGAATATAATACAACGTGGAACAAGGTATTAGGGAAGCAGATTCACTAGAAGAGAAGAAAAGGTGCAGGATGGTTGGATGAGAGTGATGTAGGCTAGGAGTGGCAAGGTGGGTGATAGAAGGGTGGTGGTGGTGGTGGTTCAGAAAGAGAAGCGTTGAGAGCCCTCTAAGCTGAGTTAGTATGAGCTAGCTCACAGTCAATGTTCCCTCTAAGCTGTGGAGTCTTGTGAGCAAAAATTCTAATTCGTGAGCTACTGGCATTAAAATTGTGAGCGAATGATTTGGCTGCTGCATAAATTAGATTGCTCTGGAGCCATGCTTCCTGAGCTAAGATAAAAATCTGTGAGCTGGAGGCTAAAAAACTGTGAGCTGGCTCACACTAACTCAGCTTAGAGGGAACACTGCACAGTTTTTTAGCCTCCAGCTCACAGTTTTCTCTTGGCTTGGGAAGGGTGGCTCCAGAGCAAACTCATTCATGCAGCAGCCAAATTGCTCGCTCACAACTTTAATGGCGGTAGCTCACGAAGTAAAATTTTTGCTCACAGGACTCCACAGCAGTGTTCCCTCTAAGCTGAGTTAGTGTGAGCTAGCTCACAGGTTTTTAGCCTCCAGCTCACACATTTTTGCCTTAGCTCAGGAAGGAGGCCTCCAGAGCAAACTGATTTATGCGGTAGACAAATTGCTCACTCACCGCTTCAATGCCAGTAGCTCACAAAACAGAATTTTTGCTCACAAGACTCCACAGCTTAGAGGGAGCATTGCTCCACAGCTTAGAGGAAACATTGGTTGGGAGCTCTTTAGGTAGGCTGGGCACCGAGCCATACAAGACTCTTTGCAGGAAGTGAAGTTCTCGCCAACAAATGGAGCATCCAAGTTTAGTGTGTGGAGATGTCTGGCAGCAACTCAGTTTGCCTGCCAGGAGAGAATCTCCGTGAGACTGGGGGGCCACGACCTAGAAGGCTGTGAGCACAGGTGGCAGTTCTGCCAAAGCGTACGACGAGGATATTCCAGTTTTACTTCTGAGGGCTGGCCTCAGAATTGTGATTGTGGATTTATTCCTTGCCCAATGCCATGTGACCCTTCTGATACAAGGGGTTCATAAAGTTAGAAGGGTTAGTGTGGATCATCTCATGCTCCTTGATGAAGGGGTCATGCAAGTGCATCTCTGTGGGATTGTCCGTGCAGGTTTTCTGGAACAAATCTGTGACTGGAACTCTGTATTTGCAGGTCTGTTCAACACTAAGTCTGTTCTGTTTCTGTTCAGAAAGTGGACTTTCGGGTGCAGACGATTCGGCTCCGGGCTGGAGCGCTTCAGCTGTACTCTGTGTCCCCCCCCCCAACATATTCAGGAAGTTCCCCCTCCACAGTTTAGAAAGAGAATGTTGTTTGGGACCAGTGTTCCCTCTCAGCTGAGTCAGTGTGAGCCAGCTCACGGTTTTTTAGCCTCTGGCTCACACATTTTTGTCTTAGCTCAGGAAGCAGGGCTCTAGAGCCAACTGATTTATGCAGTAGCCAAATCATTCTCTCAAAACTTTAATACCGGTAGCTCACAAAGTAGAGTTTTTGCTCACAAGACTCCACAGTTTAGAGGGCGTATTGTTTGGGACCACCGAGTAAGAGCTTCCTCTTTGCTCAGGTGTGGCCGCCTTTCTGACCTGGGCCGATGCCGCAGCAGACACGGAGGACATTCTGCGCGAACAGCATCGAGGGCGTTTCTACGAAATGATGGAGGGGATCTTGTCGACGAAACGGGAGGACAACAACAGCTACATTAACCGGGACCGATACCAGACACTGATTGCAGAGGTCAAAGAGGCGAAAAGGCTTCGCAGCAAAAAGGGCAAGCACTACCGGCGCCTGAGGCGCTTCAACGTCCTGAACTTCGGGACGGAAGAGAAGCTGGTGGTGCCCATCTCTCCCGGGCACACGGAAGTGGTATTCTTTGTTCAGTACGAGGATTTGTTTGATATTCTGCACGAGGCACATGTTACGATTGGCCATGGGGGTCGGACCCGGATGCTGAAGGAACTCAGTCGTAGGTACAAAAACGTTACCGCAGAAGCTGTAATGACTTACTTGAAGCTCTGCGAACTTTGCCAGAAAAAGCAGAGTGGGCCCAAAAAAGGTTTTGCCGCACAGCCGGCCTCGCGCAGTGAAATGGATTCTCGTCCGTTTGATATCATTTATATGTAAAACGATGCTGACGGTGGACTCAGGTTATGAAGATCCCAGGGCAAAACGTGTTAAACCTGAGCTGCTCACTAATGAAATGGCTTATAAATGTGTGTTTTTTTTAAATAACAGACAGCATTCCATGTTTTTTCCGTACCAAAAACAGTGGTGGAGAATTAGCCAGTCAAATGAAGATCTCTGTTTGATGTGGGTTACTGGAAAGCCAAGGAACAGTCTAAGCTAAAATTCTGTTGAACATAAAAACTGGAGCACTGACATTATTTCGGGCTGTGGAAGGAAGGAGATCTCCGGCATGAAGATGCACTGTGAAACAGCTTCCTTTCAGGCACGCAGAGTGTAGCTGTGATCGTGCTGGTGCTGAAAGGTTAACCTATGGAAGCCACCTTTGTTTGGCCAGAAATGGTCGGGCATCACTAAATTCCCTTCGGGCATCCGCACTACTCCTTGGGCTTCACCAAAACAATGGCAGAAATCCATGCTTGCTTGAAATAACTAGTTTTCACAAACAGAGCCTGGCTGAAGAGCACTCCAAAAATGAAGAACGGATATTCCGAGAATACCATCCCAAAACTGCCCAGACCCTTTAACAGAAGACGTCCGTACCACCATTAGTGACTCTTCTTGAAGAGTTTTTGGTGTCGTGGTTAAGTGCACGGACTCTAATCTGGGAGAACCGGGTTTGATTTCCCCACTCCTCCACTGGCACCTGCTGGATGACCTTGGGGAAGCCGTAGTCCTGGCACAACTGTTCTTGAAAAAGAGCCGTTTCTGTCGGAGCTCTCTCAGCCCCACCTCCCTCCCAGGGTGTCTGTCTGTTGTGGGGAGGGGGAGGAAAAGGAGTTTGTAAGCCGCTCTGTGGCTCCTTTGGGTAGTGAAGGGCGGGGTATAAATCCAATCTCCTCTTCTTCTTAAAGTCCTGACTTGAGAACATACCCGATGCGCACACTCTTGGCCTGTAAGTTCTTGCTACAGCAACGGATTTTGAGCGGAGAGCTTGTGTTTTAGAGAGGGAGCCCAAGGTTCCATTCTGCAAACGATGGCGCCCTGTCTTGGAGTGAGTGCCCTCCCCTGTTGGGGAGGTGCTGCAACTTGTGGAATGGCATCATGGGATCTAATCCCAGGGTTCTTTAGATTTGTGCGCCATCTGATTTCAGGCACAATTCTGGGTGGGTTTTTTTTTTTTTGGAGAGGCTGAAATGGATCATGAAAATCTAAAAGTAGACAGATGTTCACCTTCCTGTTGTCATTACTGATGTTGTTTCCCATCCTTGATGTTGCCGATTCTGGATCGTGTTTCGGATTCTGATTACAGCATCATTTTAGGTTACAACAAAGAACGTGAGAAATCCATCTGTGAGAGTAAGTGAAACCATGTCAGAATGAGGGGAATGCCTTGTGGATGGACTTCCAGCGTCCGCCGTCTTCCACATGTTGAGCAAAGGAGGCCGGGTGGTTTTTGCCACTGCTGAAAATGTTTGTGACCATTGTCCCTCCCCTTCCCCCTTTAGGTCCGCAGTGTGTGGTTCAGTAGCTGAAGTTAAGCTGTTGGCTTGTCTCCTGTGTGGCATACTTATGAGCCCTTCTGCCCGCTAGGTGATCCCTATGCTGGTCTCCATACATCCATGTTACGAGACAGACTTTGCTGTAAAGCAGCGCTTCCCCCATAGTATATCCCCAGTATTGGGGAATCCCTCCCACAAACCTCATCCAACATTCCAACTTGCGGTGTGATCCTAAGAGAGATCTACTCAGAATCCTTCTCCAGTCTACTCATTGGGTCTTACTCCCAGAAAAGAGTTGCTAGGATAGTCCTTTTAGCAATTTGATCCGGTTATATTCATAGATGTTTTCACAGTGTACTTGGAATTTTATAAATGAATTATTTGGTTTTGTATATATTTAATCTGGATTGACGATAACTGTATTTTTTATCATTTAGTTAGCTACTTTTGATTTTAAGGGAGGAAAGTGGAACATTGTGTTGTTGTTTTTAGTATCTTAATAAAGCCAAGGCTTGCAGTGTTGTGGCTAAAATGGCCTCCTCTGTGTACTGAGCCATTTTTTCGGTTACTAGAAGTCTGAAGCTACAGCTCTGTCCTCATGCAAGGAATCCTGGCTGTTCCCAAACCCTTTGCATCCTCCACAAGGGGCTCTTCAGGGCCTTCCCTCAATAACGTGGCCAAAAAAGTCCGAGGATAACATATGCACACACACAGAAGCGTATACCCAGAATTAAACTTTGTTGGTCTCAAAAGGTGCCACTGTGCTCAAAATTCGTCCTGCTGCTTCAGACCAACACGGCTTCTAGTGTTACCACTAAACTGTGCTAGCGTGTAGTGGTGCGCAGATTTTTAGCCCTTAGTGCACAGATTTTCGGCTCAGTGTACGGTGATGAAATGAGCCGGACCCTGGGTGGGTCTTAAGCACAAAGCCCCTTCTACACAGAGAAGCAACTCGAAAGCAAGCACGCCTGCGCCAGCCACATTACAAGCACAGGGCGACTCTCTTCCCTTCTGCACTCATCACAGCCTCATCCTGCGCATGCCAATCCCCCTTGTAGGGAGCGTGAGGTGGAGGGGGGGCGTTGCATGTGCTCTTTGTGGGCTGTTGAGGAGCTGAGGGGGGAGAGGAAGCTTTGTGGAGCTTTTTCCTCGAGTGCCAGGTGTCCGTTTATGGGCTGTGGAGGTGGGGACAGGGAGCAGTGTTCACCATCTCAGAGGCAGAGTCATTTTGGTGGGGGCAAATTGGGCGCCTCACAGGTACTTGGTGTTAGTGGCCCTTGTGTGGCTGGGATGGGTGGGGATGTGGAGAGGCCTGTGACGGGAGTGGACTTAAACAGAGATTGGCGACTCTCTGCCGTCTGGTTTCTAAAATGCTTTTTGTCTCTTCCCTAGCCATAGATACAGTGGTTGGGGGCTACTGGAACGGTCCGAGGGCCATGAAGGTTGAAGAGGAGTGGGATACTGAAGTCATGGATAACATCAGTGGCGACAGAGGAGCCTTGCCCACTTTCCAGCCCACTTTCCAGTTCATGGTGGGTAATTAGGAAAGTGGAGGATTGATCGGCATGGGGTGGATAGGCAAAAGGTCTCCCCATCTTCAGAACAGAGACCCGGAGCCATTCTTTGGTATTCTGATCGTGTGATCTCATCTTCAAAAAGGGTTTCTGGTGTTTCCTTGTAGAGAAATGAGCGGGATGGAAATGGGTAGTCCCATCGAAGGTTACTCGGGAGTAGGTCCAAGTGTTTTTGATGAAGTGTGCTACTTAGGGTCACAGTCTCCAGAGGGAAAGGTTGAGTTAAAGGGCTTTAGGAAGCAGAATATCTATGTAGTTTGCTTTTAGTTTAACTGGAACCCAAGGCTGAGTGGCAGTAATGTTTGCCACAGTTCTTGAAATTTCTAAAAAGGATCCCCGTCTTTGTATTTAATCAAGGTCGATGCTGTTAGGGTCTTAGTGTGTTCAATCTAGATTTCTAATTGTGAGTACCCTAGTAAGGACTGAACTGGTCTCTTTGTAAAAGGCTCCTAATTAGAGTTGCCGAGAGGCCAGGGGGGCGGGAGGAACCCTGCCAGCTCAACGCAAGGAGCTGTACAAACATGATAATCTATGCAGATAGTCAGTGTGAGAAATTTCAGTGCATGCTTCTGCTGTTGCAGTGAAACAAGTGAGAAGTGAGATTTCTCTAATTACAGTGTTTAGCATTTACATAGGATTTTCAGTGTTCCAAACTTGTCATATAATTGCAGTCATAATCGTTACAACAGCCCTGCAAAGTAGACCAGCATTTTTATCCCCATGTTACTGATTGGGAGTGGGGCTGAGAAAAACATGGCTTGGGAAAGCCACCTAGACATTTGAGGCATTGCCTTCCTGGACAACAGCTCATTGTCTTAACTATGTTGCACTAATTCTTAGTGGGTCTTAATGCCCCTGTCGTGCCCTGCAATGCAAGTGTATGCACAACGGTTCAACTGGAAGCTTTAAAGGTACTTTCCCTTCTTTGTTAGCCCTACCAGGACCAGGAGTCTTTGAGAATGGCAAAGCGAAAAGCCGATGATCAACAGTTCAGTGGATTCACAAAGAAAAAACGTAATAGTTTCAAGAGTGAATGGTTGACGGAGTTTCCCATTAAAACTATGATGCCACACGTCAGTGGACGTATAAGCGTGCAACTAAAAGAGATTTTTGAATATCGTGAAACAGATGACGTAGTAGTCTGCAAAATATGTCTTGAAGGAGAAGTGGACGGGAATTGGAGCACCGGAAAGAAATGGGATGAGTGGAAAATAGATTATCTTAAGCGTCACGTGAATCACAAATGTCACTTGGATGCGGTAACAAAACTTCAGAATCAGAATCAGAACCGTGGATTGCTACAGAATTTCTTAAAAGAAACCCCTGAAGATCAGACCGTGAACACCAGAATTGAATATACAAATGAAGATAAGTGGTCAGGTTCAGAAGAGGTCAAGATTTTAATTGACAATGTGCTACTTGCAGTTAAGTTGAACGTTTCCATGCTATCTGTGCAGGAAATTCATGACCACATGGCAAAATACGTTAAAATTCCTGCTAGCTGGAGAAGCAAAAACTACGCCTTTGAATTCATTGGATGCATAAATAGTGTTGTTAAAAGTGAAATTTTAAATGACATCCGGGAATCTCCTTTCCATACCCTCATAATTGATGGAAGTACCGAAATTACTGTGTCAAAGATGCTTATCATGTACATCAAATTCCGAAAAACTGGTGGTGATCATAAAACTGTTTTTGCTGGCATTGTGAAACTGGCTGCTTGCAACAGTGCTGCCATAGTTGATTCTATAAGGAAGTTTTATGATGAAAATCATTTGGACATGAATCGAATGGTCATGTTTACATCAGATGGTGCCTCCGTCATGCTTGGAAAGCGGAATGGTGTCGCTGCACTTCTGCGTGAATCGATTCCTCATCTGCTAGAGCAGCACTGCGTAGTTCATCGAGAAGATTTAGGAATAGATGATGCCTGGAAAACAATTCCATTCATTAAGAAGGTTGAAACACTAATACGCACTGTTTATACCGTCTTCAGTAGATCGAGTGTACGGAAAGCCAAACTGGAAGAAATCACCAACGCGACAAACAGAGACGTCGTTTCATTTAGACCACTGAACGAAATAAGGTGGCTCTCTAGGCACTTTGCCGTAAGTGCCTTGGTTAAGAATTACGACATTTTAATTGAATATTGCAAAGAACAAGTAGAAGAAGATAATGACCCGGTGCACAAATACTGCCTTGCAAAACTAAGTGAACCTCAATACAAGGTGGCATTGTTTATCCTTTGTGATGTTCTCGGTGATTTAGCGGAACTCTGCAGAATTCTTCAGAAGAGCCCTTTGACCACTGTGGAAGCATTTCAGTTCACGAAAGAAAAAATCAGGAAAATTAGATCTCAGTATCTGGGAGACAAAGTCTATTTCAGTGAAACTGTACGACATCTAATTTCGTCTTACAAATCTCCAGTGAATATCGATGCCATTCTCTGTTTTATTAGGCAAACTTGTGACCACATGGATAGAAGGTTTCCAGAGAATGAATTGGAGGATTGGAGTGTATTTGACAACGACTATTTATCAGACCCCTCCAACCTGGATGACTTTTTCTTTGGGAATCAAGAGCTTTCAAGACTAGCTAAGTGTTACTGCGTTTTGTTCCAGAAAGATGAACAGTCGTACGATAAGGAACTTCATAAAGAATATTCAGACTTCAAATTAATCATTGCAGAGAAGATAAAAGCAGGAGCAACGAAAACCTTCCAGGACATGCTAACGTTTACACGGCAGCAAGAACAATTCAGTGAACTAAATCTCCTCCTAGAGGTTTGTGGTACTTTTCAAGCCTCAAGTGCTGACTGCGAGAGAGGTTTTAGCTTGATGAATGCCATTAAAACGAAGAACAGAAATCGGCTAGATACAGATCACCTGGAGAACTTACTGAGAATTAAGCTGCACATGTCCAATGGGAATAATATTAATATTGACAGTGTTTACCATTTCTGGAGAGCACAGAAAGGAAGAAGAGAGAAGCTGAATTAAAACATTTCCTGTAATGAAATTTGACTTGGTTCTGTTTTCACTTATGTCCAAATCGTTCTTAAAATATCGTCTAAAAGAATTCATTCCGAATTTTTTTTTTTACAAGGTTATGGTAATAATCTTCTAAAAAACTAATTTACGAAGAGTCAAAGGTAGGCTTGCTCACAACTTTAATGCTCGTGGGTCTTTTGGCTCATGAAGTACAGTTTTTGCTCACAACACAGCTTAGAGGGAACATTGATGGCTCCCCACTTACTTGACTTTCTACGGACAGTGACCTTGGGTGCCTCAACCGTTGGTCTTCCTGCAATGCATAAATGTGTATTCACGGTCTAGCTTTGTGTTCTGCATCATAGGAGTTGTCTGTGTGTTAAAAAAATGAAGACGCCAAACGACAGTGCCCATTAGTGATATCTGTTACATTGTACCATGACACTACTGTTTGTTGAAAACTGGCCGCTTGTTAACATATGGATTAGGGTTACTTTTGCCGGCATTACTCACCACAGCGTAAAGTGGGATGTTGGCAGAAATCTTAATAAAGGATTTTGTTCGAACAAGTGACACGTACAGTTATTCATTGCCGAGAGCGACTCCACTCCACTCACTGTTCACTTAATGCTCAGGCACTGTTGGCCTCCAGTTATTGACAGACCAAGCCTTGGGATAGAACATTCCTCCCTCCCTGTATAATGCTTGATCCTCATCCCTTTCCCCCCCTTCCTTAACCACAGCAGAACATAATGAAATCACGTATCAGATAAATGGAGACGCGAATGGTCGCAAGCTTTACGTCCTCACGTGTTCAGCCAGAATAACTTACATCCCTGTGGCAGATCTTGATAGATGCAATCCTAAGTACTGAATAAGAACGTAATAGAAGCCATGTTGGATCAGGCCAATGGCCCATCCAGTCCAACACGCTGTGTCACACAGTGGCCAAAAATACGAGAGGCCATCAGGAGGTCCAGCAGTGGGGCCAGGACACCAGAAGCCCTCCCACTCCTGCCCTCCAAGCATCAAGGATAACGTAAGAGATGCCAATGTTGGATCAGGCCAAAGGCCCATCCAGTCCAACACTCTGTATCACACAGTGGCCAGAAATACCAGTGCCATCAGGAGGTCCACCAGTGGGGCCAGGACATTAGAAGCCCTCCCACTGTTGACCCCCCCAAGCACCAAGATGGCAGAGCATCACTTGCCCCAGAGTCCCTATCTATATCTTGTGACTAATAGCCACTGATGGGCCTCTGCTCCATATGCTTATCTAATTCCATTTTGAAGCTGTCCATGCTTGTAGGATACAGAGCATTAATGCCCCAGACATAAGAACATAAGGGAAGCCATGTTGGATCAGGCCAATGGCCAATCCAATCCAACACTTTGTGTCATACAGTGGCCAAAACCCAGGGGCCATCAGGAAGTCCATCAGTGGGGGCCACAACTCCCACACACTGATGCCCCCCAAGCACCAAGAATACAGAGCATCACTGCCCCAGACATAAGAACGTAAGAGAAGCCATGCTGGATCAGGCCAATGGCCCATCCAGTCCAACACTCTTTTACACAGTGGCCAAAACCCAGGTGCCATCAGGAGGTCCACCAGCAGAGCCAGAACTCCAGAAGCCCCCCAAGCACCAAGAATACAGAGCATCATGGCCCCAAGACAGAGTGTTCCATCTAGATCTCATGGCTAACAGCCACTGATGGACCTCTACTCATATGTTTATGTAATTCCCTCTGGAAGCTGTCTATGCTTGTAGCTGCCACCACTTCCTGGGGCAGTGAATTCCATGTGTTAATTACTCTTTGGGTGAAGGAGGACTTCCTTTTATCTGTTCTAAACCTATTGCTCATTAATTTCATGGAGTGCCCACGAGTTCTTGTATTGTGAGAAAGGGAGAAAAGTACCTCAAAACCTACCTGCTCTATCCCATGCATAATCTTGTAAACCTCAATCATGTCACCCCTCAGCTGTCATTTCTCCAAGCTAAAGAGCCCTAAGCGCTTTAACCTTTCCTCATAGGGAAAGTGTTCCAACCCTTTTATCATTCTAGTTGCCCTTTTCTACACCTTTTCCAATGCTATCTTTTTTGAGGTGCGGTGACCAGAACTGTACAGAGTATTCCAAATGAGGCTGCACCATCGATTTATACAGGGGCATTAAGATACTGGCAGCAGCTTTCTTTCTCTCCGGGGGTCTCTTAATCACACTGTACCACATTGCCTTTCGGGGTGGCTGCTGTCGAACCATGGCCAACAGCTGGCCCTGGGTGACTCATACAAGTGACTTGGTATCAAGATGCCCAGTGGTTGCTGCTGGGCCTACCTGCTTCTCTCCTTATCCCTGACAGCCTTCTGATTTGCTACTTTTGACCTTCTTGTTCCAGTTGACTCTGGTCAGGCCTGATTCAACCATGGCCTCTCGCACCCAAACCCTTAGGCCTCTAGTCAGCTTTACCGTAGGAGATCAGTAAGCTCCTGCCACGAGGCACACCTTAGCAGTGTCTTCAGTTCGTTTTGGGGAATAGTATACAAGTAAGAATATTTTCCGAGAATCTTTGGTTCCATTTGAACTTTTCCTGAAACCAGGGGTCAGTTCCTATAGGAGCGGAGTACCGGCAGTAAAGAGCCCAGGGGGCAGGCACATGCAACAAGCCCCGCCCCCTGCTCCCAGCAGCCCCGGGCCATGAGGAGCAAGAAGCAGCCAGGTGAGTTGCAGAGCCTCCCCATAGATAGCAATCCAAAACAATCTCCCTCCTCTGTGAGGGCAGATCTGTGTGGGAACCCCCCCCAATAGCTAGCAATCCAAAACAGTCCAGTGGAGCCTGAGCGGTGGGTGTTGCCTTCTGACACACTTCCGGTGATGTCAGGGGGTGTGGCCTATGCAAATAAGCTATGCTAATGTGCTCCTGCACCTCTCTCTCTACGAAATGACCCCTGCCTGAAACCATATTTATACAGTTGGCCCTGGCTCTCTGAAGCCCAGCCCGGTATTGCCCAGCTTGAGAGAAGCTTCTCAGCTTCCTAGTCTCTTTTCAAGAAAGACAGATGGGAAACGCTGGAAAATTCATAAATCAACTTTGTTGAGAAACGAAAGCTGCCCAACAGCCTAAAAAGCCTTTCCTGGACAGCCGGGGTCAGAGCGGCAGGGGCCGTGGGCCTATTCTTCCTGGCCAGGGGCTCCTTGTGGTCAGCTGAAGTCTGGGTTTCCAGGCCGAATACCCCAGGTTCCCCCAACCGTTCCTCCTCGGACTTATTTTCCAGACCCCTGACTCTAAACAGCACCCTCAAGACCCTCTAGTTTAAGAGCTCAGGCAAGAAAATTAGAGAAGTCAAGGAGGATGCAACAGAGGAATGAAAATCGGCCTTAGAGCACACTGGAAACTCTCTCTGGGGCAGAAAGAGCATTTCAGTGACGATTGGAACCAACAAGAACCGGAGGGGGGCACCGGTTGCCACGGCAGAGAGGGAGTTCTAGCCCCGTTCCGAGAGAAGGAAGGAGCACGGCGATGCTGGGCCCCCACCCATGGGTGAAACGCAGCGGATGTCTCCCCCAGTGCCTGCCCCTCCCATCTCCAGCTCTGCACCAGCGCACCAGAGGCAGCCGAAGCAAAGGCGCCAAGAGATCTTGGCGCACCTCTTCATCTTCGTGAGCAGAGGCTCGACCATCTGGAAAAACAACTATGCCCAGCTGGGTGGGGACCAGATAAAGGTTTCTACCATTATGCCTGGGATATGAAGGTGGGAGACAGTGGAAGCTTTTTCTCCGTCTCCCGTAATTGTAGAACTTCAGAGGTACCATGTCCTCCAAGGAAGCTTTGGGTGACGGTCAAGGGCAAAAGGCACAACACTGGGGAGTGAATCTTCACTGCCCAGGCTCACAAGCGATCACCAGCCCCTCTAAGCTAACCCTCAGCTGAGAGAGCAAGGGACCAAGTCTCCAGCCCTACCAGGTGCTAGTCGAGAAGCCAGCCCTGCAAGGTGGGACGCTTGCAATTGAGTTCCACAAACGACCACTTGGCAGCTGTAGCCAAAACAGGCCAAGGTACTGGGTTGAGACTGAAGCCCCAAAGCCCAAACAACACCATACGAGTAAAATTAATAAGGACTACCCAAAGAAATGTGCAGAAATACACAAATATAAGAGCAATGCGAAAAACGGAAGAAAATGATTAAATAGCTAACCTAGAAGGCTTAGGGCTTTAGTCCTCCGATCCAGATGTTACCTGGTCAGACTGAAGGCACAAGGTCCAGATAAAACGCCAGGTCCAAAATCCAAGAAGCAGGTGTTCCGGCAGCACAAGGCCTGACCTATGGTCCGAAGGACGGCCAGAAGGAAGTCCAAAGGGAACAAAGGTTCAGCCTGGAATGCTGCCAGACTGCCCGGTCACAAAGTCATTGAGGTGAAGGGTCCATACGGGCCATCGAGCCCAACCCCCTGCTCAGTGCAACCAATTCCACTGCTGAACTACTCCTACTGTAAAAAAGAAATTCGGTTTGGTCAATCTGGTGTGTTGCCAAGACACGTGACCTGACCATGCGCTTCTGCAGTTGGCACATAGATTCTGCAGTTGGCACGTGTTTGGGGCTTTTTTGGTCATCTTCTGGGTGTGGAACAGGTCACTATGGGTGTGTGTGGGGGGGAGGTATTTGTGAATTTTACTGTCACACAAGAAGAGAGGCCTCTTTCTTATGTCCTGGAATACTCTGATTGGGTGACTCCCGAATGTATCTAAAAAGCCTCTCATTTTGAACAGCATCCGTGGGATAGTGGGTTGCCGAAACAGAAGAACCAGTCTTCCATTTGAGGAATGATTGCGAAGTCTTTCAATTTGTTCCAGATCAACCTCATTTGCCTCCAGCCTCAGTAAGCGACTTAGTGAGAAAAATCGCTTCTTGTCTGTTATCCCAGCGGCCTGCATTCACTGCAAATGGAGCCATTTCCAGGGCAACCTGAGAACTCTTCCATATCAAAAAGTCCTTGGAAGAGGGCTGACCTGCAAGTTTGTGACAAGAAGCAGCATAATAAAATTTTATTTTTTTAAAAATTGTGAATTCCCTGCATTGCGCAGGGGGTTGGACTAGATGACCCTGGAGGTCCCTTCCAACTCTATGATTCTATAATCAAGCCACTCACCACCCACACCCAGGGTTCCCTGTGCTAATGAGACGGAATGTGAGTACAAAACTCCCTCTGGGTCTCAGGCCTTGAAGCTCCCACTCTCACTTGCACCTGGGCCTGACTCCCGTCTCATCCCTTATCCCTCTGGAAACTGCGAGTCAGTGTGACATCAACTTCCCAGAAAGAAATAGTTCAGCAACTTAACTAGGCCCAAAAGCCTGAACCAAACTTTGAAAGGCCAAGAAACTGCTAAACTGGTCCAGTTTCTGGACACCAATGAAGTTGAGGGGTAAGTAGATTCAGGACAGACAAGGAAATACGTCTTTCCTCGATGAGTAATTAAATTGCGGAATTCACTGCCAGAACAGGTAGTGATGGTTGTGAGCAGAGATGGCTTTAAAAGAGGGTTAGGCATAGAGGAGCGCTCCGTCAGAGGCTACTGCCTATGGTGACACGGGAAATCTCCACATCCAAAGCAGTCCGCCTCTGAACCCCAGGGGCAGGAGGCAACATCAAGAGAAGGCCTCAGCGCCCTATTTGTTTGGCCACTGAGAGCAAATGATTGGTCACTGTGTGAAACAGGATGCTGCTGCTGGACTAGATGGACCCCCCTTGGTCTGATCCAGGAGGACACCCATTGTGTTCTTCTGTCAAGCGCTGCGGAAAATAAAACACAGAAGCAGCCCTCCCTGGCCGGTCTCAATTCTACATGAAATCTGCTTCCCTGAGCACCAGCTCTCCTTCATCCCGATGAGCAATCTGGCTGTAGGTTGGCACACCTAACTACACTTGCCTGCATTAACTGCATCTGCAAACCTAAGCATACTGGCTAGGAACTCATTCCCGGTACTCCTGAGCAGACGTGCGCCGAATCAGACTGCTGCAAGTACAACCAAATTCAAATCCTCTAACCCTCCGGGACCAAAGCAGTGAAGCATCTCTGGTACCTCCGTCAATTTTAAATCAGAGAGACCAATTTAAGATCCTGCCCCGTTAACTCCTACCCCAGACTAGTTCAGATTAGAGATGCCCCAACTCTATTGAGTTTTAATGCCACATTCTCCTCGGGAACATTATAAAACAGAGACAAAAGTCAGCGGCGACCGCCCCAGCGTCTGAATATTTACATTCATTTACAACACTTCTTCAATGCACGTCGATAGCACCATTTAAAAGACTGCTCCTATTGCAGATCCGAAGGGAGTGGACTGTAGACGAAAAGTCTGGTCTCTTCTGCATTCCAGTGCTCGCCGGTCTACAGTTAACCACCAGAAAACGATGTCCTGCTGATCTAAATGAGCCAGCGGAGGAGTCGGTGTTTTTGCAAGAAGCTGTGCCCAGGTGTTGGCAGACCCCGGTGCCACAATATGTTCCGGGGCAGGACTTGAGAGTCCGATGCTCAGGTGGCCCTGGGAGTCGAGCAGGGCTCCGTGTGCCTCTTTAAATGAGGACGAGACCCTAATTCGGGGCCAGGAAGGAATCAGGTCTGGATCCAGGAGACCTGACTTGCGAGGAGGTAGATGAGCATTTCTAGAGGGGAGAGGAGACCCCCGGCCCCATCAAAAGGCCGAGCCACCGCCCGAGGCACGCTCCGCTCCCCCCTGCGGCGAGACGCAGCAGTGCTGCAGGAGCAGCTGCCTGCAGGAGAAGGCCTTGGGGCAGCGGCTGCACCGGTAGGGCTTCTCCCCGGGATGCGTCCGGATGTGCTTCTGGAGGTGGTGCTTCTGCATGAAGCCCTTCAGGCAGACGGGGCACTGGTGGGGCCTCTCCCGGGTGTGGGTCCGCTGGTGCTTCACCAGGTGGTGCCGGCGGATGAAGCGCTTGCCGCAGGCGGCGCAGCGGAAGGGGCGCTCGCCCGTGTGGATGCGGTAGTGGTTCGTCAGCTTGCTCTTGTCCACGAAGCTCTTCTCGCAGAGCGGGCACTGGTGGGGCCGTGCGCCCGTGTGGCTCATCTGGTGGCGCAGCAAGTGGTCGGAGCGGCCGAAGCGCCGGGGGCAAAACCTGCAAGCCAGGCGCTCCTCGCTGCTGAGCTCTGTCGAGGCCTCCCGGTGGCTGCTCTGGTGAATCAGCAGGTTGACCTGGAGCCGGAAGCGCTGCTGGCACCAGGGGCAGGCCCAGATCTTCTCTTCCGCTAGGCCGGGAGAGAACTTCCCCTCCCCCTCCTCCAGTGGGGAGACGGGCCCGTGCGCGGCGGGGCTCGTGTTCCCCTGGGCCAAAGGCACGCAGTAGCCCTGGGCGGGCGGGCTGTCGTGGCTCCGCTGGTGGTTTAGGAGGCCGATCTGAAACCGGAACCGCTTCCCACAGTCAGGGCAGGCGTACGGCCTCACCTCCTCCACGCTGACTTCGCCGGTGGCACAACCTCTCAGCTCTCCAACCGGGCTCCCCATCCGCACCTTGGAGTCGAGGGGAGTGTCGCCGGGAGCGCCCGTGTCCCGGAAGTTGCTCTCGCCCGACATCCCTATTAACATCCACGGCTCAAAGACGTCCGGTTCTGTCTCCGGCTCCGTTTTGATCGCAAGCTCCTCGTCCGCTGGGAGGGCTACGGGGGAAAAGGGAGACTGAGAATCTGCGCTCCGACCACACTGCGGCTCTCACCTCGCGGGCAGCGGCGTGCCAGGGGGCGCTCTCCATCCGGTCCTTCCCTGGCAAGATGCCCAGCCCTGCTTAACGAGACATCCCAAGGAACCCCTAACGCCGGCTCCTGAGATGAATGACCACTATCAACCACCGGTCAAAAGAACACCTCAGAATCTGACTGTGAAACTGGACTCCCACCACCAAAAAACCCCGTTGAACCCCCCCCCCATGCACTGATAACCACAGACAAGTCACCGGCAGTCCCCTTTCTGGTTACAAAATGTGAGGTTTGCAGAGAAGAAGAGATTGGATTGATTCCCCTTTCCCTTTACTTGGAGTCTCAGAGCAGCTTAGAAACTCCTCTTCCCTTCCCCTCCCCACCGCAGACACCCTGGGAGGTAGGCGGGGCCGAGAGAGCTCTGACAGAAACTGCTCTTTTTCAAGGACAGCTCTTGTCAAATCTATGGCTTGCCCAAGGTCATCCAGCAGGTGCAAGTGGAGGAGTGGGGAATCAAACCTGGTTCTCCCAGATTAGAGTCCGCGCACTTAGCCACGACACCCCTGCCACCTCTGGCTTCTGAGAGCTCCTGATGGTGGGCCCAACAGATTGTTCATCTCATCTCCTCACCCAAGACTAGAAAACAGATTCTTTTATTGGCTTTTTTAGAGCCCACTTTTCTCACGTGGACTTAAGGCAGATGACAGAGATTTCCCCCCAGAAGTTCCCAGGATGGTGACCAATGCCTCCCTCTAAGCTGTGGAGTCTTGTGAGCAAAAATTCTACTTTGTGAGCTACCGGCACTGAAGTTGTGAGCGAGCGATTTGGCCGCTGTAGAAATTAGTTGGCTCTGGGGCCAGCCTTCCTGAGCTGAGACAAAAAAATGTGTGAGCCAGAGGCTAAAAACCTGTGAGCTAAAACCTGATGGCCCCTGGTATTTCTGGCCCCTGTGTGACAACAGTGTGTTGGACTGGATGGGCCATTGGCCTGATCCAGCATTGGCTTCTCTTATGCTCTTATGTCCTTAACTCAGCTTAGAGGGAACACTGACGGTGACCCGAACCCATCGCCAGCAGCTCAAGTGTCGGATCAATGCTGTCATGGCTTCTAAAGGATCTTAGTCCCATGAGGCCGAGAAACCTGATGTTTAAAAAACAAACCAACCACTCCCGAGTTGCCTAAATCTGCATTAGGGACCACCTCTTCGCAATCTGGAATGAGCTCCCGTGTGAGATCAGGGCCCTGCGGGACTCACTGCAGTTCTTCCACAGGGCCTGCGAGACGGAGCTCTTCCGCTGGGCATTTGGTGGAGGCAGCGGGTGTCGTCCCCCCGTCCCCCCCCCAGCTTCTTCGGCCCTAACTTTTCTGGCCAATTGTCCCTCCGGTGGCCTGCTTTTGATTAGTCACCTGACCATTTTATAGTTACACGGCATTTTATGATTTTATCTGTAAACTGCTATTTTAATATTGTTCTAATTGTACGTTTAACTGCCGTACTCTGCCCTGAGCCCATTGGGGAGGGCGGTATATAAATTGAATAAAATAAAATAAATCTGTGCCCACCCGACACGCAACCCCGGAGGCGGAAGGCCGCTTCCCTCGTCCCTCCCCTCCCCCCCCCGAGTCTGGCACGCGCGCATCTTTCGGCAGATCCGAGTCCCGTCTCGCATTGGCGGGAGGATGGCCAGCCGGCCTCTGCTAAACCGGCTCAGGTCGACTCACCTGTGCTTGGCTGCTCAAGGGTCTGTCTCTCCGCAGAGTCTCCCTCACCCCTGAAATGCATCTTATCCAAGGGCAGGAAGTGAGGGCCGTGGAGGCCAGCGTCTATGGAGAAACAGATTGGGGACCATTACTTCCTGGGAGGTCACCACGCTACACGTTGCCCTGGAGTCAAAAGCAAGGCTGCCCAACTGGCAGGTAACACCAACTGGTTATGCAGAAGAACACAGCCCACAACGATCAAGAGCCGTACAAACCTCTCTTTTACGACAGGGAACCGTTCTCCCACAATCTTAAAAGAAATTAAATAAAAGCTGGTTTGGTGTGCATCGCTTTATGCTTTGATTTCTAAGAGACACACAATGAACTGAATTTTTAAAAAACCACAGAATTGGTCCGGAAGAATGCTGTCGTTAGGGGGACACAACGCAAAGTCAAAACGTTGCTAAGAGTCACACCATCACGACTCCTAGCCGCGAACTTCCATCTCTTGTGTTTGAGACACATCCTCGTTCCGAATAAAAGGGAAAGGCATCCAGTATTCATTATGAAGAACGAGTGAAGGGTGCAGTTTTTGCTTCCAGTGTCTAGGAAAGTATCGACCCCGTTTGTGGCCGCAGTTGGACAAAGAAGCCAGAGAAGAGGTCAGAAGAAGGACATTAAGAGCCCCACGGAAGATTTCTTAGTTCGCTTCCCAAGCTATGCCTACCTAATTCCCAACCTTTGTTTCACAGGGATGAGAACTACTTTTCTGTTTTGCAAAGGAAAGCAAAGACTCTCCAGTTCCAGTGGTTACTGGCTACACGGCACAGATCTTTATTACAAGACCGTTCAGCGGCATCCCTTTGAGCACAGACAATTGCTCTGAGGCGGGCTTCCCCAGCACTCAACAAGGAGTTTTTCTGTAGGAAAGAAAACACAGACACACAAGGCAGTGGGGGAAGGGGGGCAAAGGTGGGAGGGAGACGGACACAGCTGGGCCTGACACGGGACAGAAAATCACTTGCAGGAGGGCACAAGTGCGCCCCGCGTTTAGCAGGGAAGGGGACCCCAGACAGGTCCTGCTCTCAGGAAAAAGAAACTCCAAAGGGAGAAAATAGCGCCCCCCCCGGCACAGACCCTGACAGGGCTGGATCTTGGTGGACAGAGATACCCACTGAGGAAAAGGCTACCAAAGCACATGGGCAGGCACACAAATACAGGGGGAGACGAAAGGTTTTGCACAGCATCAGCCCCACCCATTCATTCAACAGCCTGGACGAGGTACGGGGACAGACGCCACAGACCCGTTCTGCTTCAAGCAGTGCTTCCCGCCAGGACAAGGAGCTCTCCACTTACACAAGAGGTTCTTTCGCCACTGGCGACAGAATCTCCTGGGCGCCAGAGGAGCACACCTCCGCTAGTGGGATGGATCGAACGTGTTACTTTTAGAAGCCCATGTTCTTCGGGAAGAAGGACAACACTGAACATGGAACGTGACCCTGGCCTCCGTCTTCACCTCTTCTTAGAAGGCAATGCCGTCGGTGCTTGACACACAGCGGAACAGAAACCAAGAGACCCGCTTGTTCGAGCCTAGCTAGTGACGGAACAGGGCGCCGGGGGGGGGGCTGCTCTGCCCGCTGCCCTCGGGGTGGGGGGAGTGCCCTGGCTCCAGCGCATGCCACCTTGCAGGAGAGAGGGAACCGGGGAGGAGGGGGCAGCTGGTTCTCTAGCAGTGACCACCACAGGCCAGAGGGGACACGGGGCTCCTAAATGGACTGGGAACTATGAAGGAGAAAATCCTAACAACTTCATGCCTTAGAACTGGGAGAGCCACGGTGACCCGTGCCGCCCCCGCCCCCCACCTCGACATCCCTTCTGATCCCGTCCTTCCCCCGAAGAGCTCAGGAGGACGCGCACACACGTGAGTTCTGCCCCCGCAAGGTGAGTTAGGGTAAGAAAAGAGTAAGCGGCCCAAGATCAGCCCGCGGGCAGAGTGCGAAGCGTCCACTGCAGTTCAAGTCAAGGGAAACCCCACAGTCTTGCGGCAGCTCGTTTCCCGACTTAGCCCAGAGGGAGTCAGGAGAAGGACGCTGCTGGAGCCAGCGTCTCCTGGAAGGGGGGAGGAAGGGCGCTGTCCAGCAGGATTCCAGCAGGGCCCCTCCTTCTCCTCTTTACTTCGCATGGATGGAAAGCCTCTGGGCAAAGTCCTGTCCTTTTAAAATTCCACGAAAGGCATATCCATGCTGTAGAGAGAGACTCGAGCGGTGAACTTCCCAAACAGCGTCGGTAAAGCAACCGCCTGGCCATCCCCCCTGCACGCAACCCGGCACAAACACGCTTGCCCGGATGTTTCGCTCTCCAGAGAAAGACGATCCAACTCAACAGAACGCTCACGGACTTCGTTTCCCAGTTTTCTAATTTATTTTGCAGTTTCTACGGAACAAAACAAAACAAAACAAAAAACCCTCCAGAAAATATATAAAAGTGTGGGGTGGTGTTTTTCGTTTTGGACAAAAGGGGGGGGGTTACAGAAAGATGGAAGGGTGCGCCGTCTCCAGGCCCACAACAGGAATCCGTCCCGAACATTCGGGCGTGGAAACGTCCCAGGAACTTAACAGCCACGGGGTGCTACTGGGGAGGGAGAGCTGCAGCATCACACGCTCCACACCGGAAGTCGATCGTTACGATCGACTCTTTATTCGGAGGACTTCCAAAACTGTTCTCACGCGCCTGAGCCTACGCCCCCTCGACACTGGGCTATGGGGGAGGCACTGGGGGGGAGGTTCTCTCCCCCTGCCCCCCCTTCTGAGGTAACATTCTATCCCCACCCCCACCCCCGAAAAGCCCCTGCCCTGCTCCGGGAGAAACGCTGCCAGGGAGGGCCCTAGATGAAGATGGCGTCCAGCAGCGCCTCCCGGACGGCCGTGCCCATCAGCTGGTTCTGCTCCCGCAGGTGGATCTTCTGGTGCTGCAGGAGGTGCTGCTTCTGCGTGAAGCTCTTGTCGCACTCGCCGCAGCGGTAGGGCCGCTCCCCGGTGTGGATCCGCTGGTGCCGCACCAGGTCCGAGGGGTGGCTGAAGGTCTTGCCGCAGTACAGGCAGGCGAGGGAGCTGCTGCCCCTCCCCGAGTGCAGCCGCTGGTGGGTGACCAGGCTCTTCTTCTGGGAGAAGCTCTCAGGGCACCGGCTGCACTTGTAAGGCCGCTCCCGCCCGTGGCTCTTTTGGTGCGGCCGGTAGGCGGACTTGAGGTTGAAGGTCTTCACGCACTTGGCGGCGCCGCCGTAGGGCTTGTCCCCTGCCGGGCCCCGCGGGAGAGGCTTCAGGTTGTGGCTCTGCTTGAAGGTCTCCTCGCAGGCGACGGAGGTGAAGGCGCCCCCCCCGGTGTGGATCCGCTGGTGCAGGGTGAACTGCTGCTTGAAAGTGAAGCTCTTCTCGCAGGGGGGCCGGCAGCAGCCCTCCGGGGCGGCGTGGTTCTGCTGGTGGATCAAGAGGCTCTTCTGAAGACGGAAGCCCTTCCCGCACTCGGGGCACACAAACAGTTTGTCGCCTGGGCGGTCACGCTGGCACCCTGTGGGAGGGCTGCTGCTGCCGCCGCCGCCGCCAAAGCCTCCCTCACCTGGCACAGCCTCATCCGCCGGGCTCCCCGGGTGCCGCCTGTGGTGCAGCAGAGCGCCGTAGCGACTCCCAAGGGGCGGGGCGCTGTGGAGAAGGGCTTCTTCGGCGCACTGCAGTCCCAGGGTTTCACACAGCGCTCTCTGTGCCTGGAGGACTTCTGCCTTGAAGACCAGCCCATCATCTGGGGGGGTTAAAGAAAAGACGTTTTGTGCGCGCTCGTCTGGAGCCGAGACAGCAAGACCAACACCTGCCCAAGGCCCTCCTCCGGTCTGGGGTGCTGCGGGGAGAGGACGGCGTGGCTCCTGCGGTGCTCCGGGCCAGGCAGCCGCCACGCCCGCTAATGCACTGTGTCTAAAACCTTAATGCGTTGTTTCAGGTCGGTCGCAGCTCTCTCTTACAGCCAGCGGGGCACGGCGGACCAGGACCTAGGAGGCCCAGCTGCAAATCCCCACTCTCTGCCACGGGAAAGCTCGCGGGGTGACCTCGGGCCAGTCGCCTCTCTCTCCGCCTAGCCCGCCTCACAGGGCTGTTGTGAGGATAAAACGGAGGAGAGAAGAAGGATGGAAGCCGCTTTGGGTTCCCATGGCGGGGAGAGGCGGGGTGTAAAGGAAGTCAAAACAAAAGCAAAAAATCAAGAGTGGCGCCCTTTTCAGGCTTCTGTCATACCAAACCTACTGCCCCATTCCTTGGACAGGACTCACGCGAGGCGATCCCGCCTTGAGTCTCGACGACAAGCACCCTCCCTCACCTAACCCCCCCCCCTGCCCGACCAGCCCAAGGCCCGCCTGGCACCACCGGGAGGCCCACTCCCTCGCCCTCCCTTCTGCCCAGAAGTGCACAGGCCAAGACCCCCTAGGCCACATCCGTAATGTGCAAAGACTGTGCGTGCGCATGCGCCTTTCACATTCAACCCAGAAATGCTGCCGCAAAAGCTGCCCCTGCCTCCGCCCAGGAAGGAGCCCCGGTGGCCAGCTGGGCCTTCCACGCAGAGTCCCCCGGCCGAATGGGACAGGCCAGACTCCTCTGCCGGCTGGGCTCGAGGGAACACGGCGGGCTTTCCCGCAGACTGTGCTCCAGACGGAGTTCTTCTCTGGCACTTTACGCCACGCCCTTGCGCAGATGTCGGATTCCCCACTCCCCACTATCAGAGGGAAGCACAAGACCACCCACCCACCCCGCAGCCGCCACATTCTGGGTGCACTGCACAAGGAGCAATTGCTCAAAAGAGCAAAGGAAAGCACAGAAATACAGTCTGTGTTGGCGGAGCAAGCCCAGCAAAAGGCAAGGCAGGAGGGAAGGGAGGGAGGGAGGGAGGGAAGGGAGAGAGACAGAGAGAAAGAAAGAGAGAGAGCAAGAGATAGACAGAGAAAGAAAGAAGGGAGGGATGGAGGGAGAAAGGGGCAGAAAGAAAGAAAGGAAGGAGGGAGGGAGGGAGAAAGAGAAAGAGAAAGAGAAAGGAAAGAAGGAAGGGAGAGAGAGAGAGAAAGAAAGAAAAAGAAAGAAAGAAAGAGGGAAAGAAAGAAAGAGAGAGAGAGAGAGAGAGAGAAAGAGAGAGAGAGAGAGAGAGAGAGAGAGAGAGAGAGAGAGAGAGAGAGAGAGAGAGAGAGAGAGAGAGGGCAGCACTAGTCTTACATGAAGGGCCAGATCTCACTCATGCCTCCACTCAACCCATTCTGCCTCTCGTCCGAGTCCACATCTTTGTCCAGCTGGGCTCCACGCCAGCCTCTCCCCTTCCCTGAGCTCAGAACCCTCCAAAGAGTCCGGGGCCATCTTGAAGTTTGTCCACAGAGAGGGGAGGGGTCAGGAGCACGGCTTGTGGCCCCCGGGCCCCGCATCGCCCATACGCTTGCTTGGCCCAGAAGGGGTGGGCCGCCTCTCTTACAGAAACAGACTGGCCTCCAACTCTGGAGAACCCCTTCTTTCCCAGAGCCCGGGGGGGTGGGGTTCTCCTTCCTTCTCTGGGGACCAGAGAGGAGAGGTGCCTTTCTTCCCTGGGGCTGGTCTGAGCAGAGGGCTGAGGCAGAGGAGGCGGCCTCACCAACTGGGCCGGCGGGAGGCTGCTCAAATCACAGGAATGGTCACACACACAGAATAATCCGCTTTCGTTCCATTTTCCGTGCACTTCCCAACTGGGTTATGCTGGTTCCCACAGTAAAATCCAGTTGGAAAGTGCACTGAAAGTGGATTATTTTAGTGTTTGGGACTGCAGCCTTACACGGGTGTGATCGGAGATGCTGAACATACCCGGAAGCTGCCTTCTGCTGAAGCGGACCCCTCCCCCCTCGGTCCATCATGGTCAGTCTTGCCCACTCAGGCTGCAGGGTCGCCTGGTCTGGGTTGGAAAACACCTGGAGACTTTGGGGGTGGATCCAGAAGAGGGCGGGGTTTGGGGGAGGGGCCTCAGGGTGGTACAATGCCCCGGCGGGAAGGGCGGGAGACAAATGTCAATAAAGCCCGCCCTCCAAAACAGCCATTTTCTCCAGGGGAGCTGATCTGTGTCAGCTGGAGACCCGTGGTGAAAGCGGGAGATCCCCAGGCCCCGCCCGGAGGCTGGCAACCCTATCAGGCTGGCAGCAGCTCTCCAGGGTCTCAGGAAGATAAAGGTTAAGAACATAAGAGAAGCCAGTGTTGGATCAGGCCAAAGGCCCATCCAGTGCAACACTCTGTGTCACACAGTGGCCAAAAATACCAGGGGCCATCAGGAGGTCCAGCAGTGGGGCCAGGAGGACACTAGGAGCCCCTCCCACTGTTCCCCCCCCAAAAGCACCAAGAATACAGAACATCCCTTGCCCCAGACTGAGAGTTCCTATAAGAACATAAGAGAAGCCAATGTTGGATCAGGCCAATGGCCCATCCAGTCCAACACTCTGTCTCACACAGTGGCGAAAAATACCAGGAGCCATCAGTAGGTCCAGCAGTGGGGCCAGGACACTAGAAGCCCCTCCCGCTGTTGTCCTCCCAACACCCAAGAATACAGAACATCTCTTGCCCCAGACTGAGAGTTCCTATAAGAACATAAGAGAAGCCAATGTTGGATCAGGCCAATGGCCCATCCAGTCCAACACTCTGTCTCACACAGTGGCCAAAAATACCAGGTTCCATCAGGAGGTCCAGCAGTGGGGCCGGGACACCAGGAGCCCTCCCACTGTTGGCCCCCCCAAGCACCAAGAATACAGAGCATCCCTTGCCCCAGACCGAGAGTTCCTATCTAGACCTTGTGGCTAATAGCCACTGATGGACCTCTGCTCCATATGCTTATCCAGTTCCCTCTTGAAGCCGCCCATGCTTGTAGCACCCACCACTTCCTTCCCCATCACCTCCTACCTGGTCCTTTGAACTGGAGATGCTGCCCGGGATTGAACCTGGGACCTTCCAGATGCCAAGCGGAGGCTCTGCCATTGAGCCACAGCCACTCCCATATGCTGCACCTGGTAGTTAGGGTTGTCAACTGCATGGGGAGTCTCTTAGGTCACCCGGTGGGATTTACGCTTTAAGAACAATCCTCCTCCTCTCAAAGCCACCAAGGGGAAAGACGGGAGGACAGGGAGGCAGGTCTTTGCAACAACACGCTCAAGCAAAGCCTGCCAGCCCAGCACCATGGGCCAAATGAACCTCCCGGGGACCACCTCCCATTTGGTGCTAAGAGAGTGTCAGCCTCAGATCACAGGCCACCCCCCTCACTGGAGCCCCCATTCCCCACCACTCAAAAAGGAAAGAACAACACGGAGTGGGACACAGGATGCCGAGGCCCAGCACGGAACAGGGGTGAGGCAGGGAAGGTGCAGAAGTCAGGAACCCGGAGAGCCAAGTTTTCACTCTTTCCTTTTAAAAGGATGTTTTGAGGCCCGATCGCTGCAGAGGGGGGCTTAAGGGGCGCCTAGAGAACTCAGAACTTCAAGGATGATCCCGGGGGGAAAGAGCTCCAGTGGTCTACACCAAGGCCCTGGCCACGTGCTTCACAGACACGGCCCGGTTCCAAAGCACACCGGCCCGCTCACAGTACACAGTGCCCTCAGGCCGGGCACCACCAGGCTCTCTCACCACTTTCCCGAGCGCTACGCTAGAAAACTGAAGGCGAGCCGGAAGCACCCACGGCAACATGAGTTCACCTGAGTCTGGGACGAGAGAACTCACGGAAGGGAGGGACGCAAGAAACAAAACAAGACAAAAAAAAATCACAGGAAGCAAAACTGCTGAGGCGGGAAGGCTCCAGCACATGGGAGGGGAGAGACAAGTAGAGGGGGGAAAACCAACATCCCAGGAAGGTGTTTCATCTTGCAGGGCTTCGCTCCCCCCCCCCTCCGCCCACACTGGCTAAGCTGTTCCTTATGTTACACGGAGATCTAGAATGACCATGAGTGGGTGGAATACGAGGCAGGCAGAAGAGCGAGTGCTTCGCATCTGAGCCTCCACCCCCCTCCCCAAAGATCTCCAGTTCAAGGGTTTGGGGTAGCTGAGCTTGACAGACCGGTCATCCGACTCTCTTTAAGGGCACAGGGAGCTCAAATGATGGGGGGTGGGGAGAGAAGCACAAAGGGCGTTTGCGGCTTAGCTGATTTGAATCGTATCCCGTTTCGCCCAAGGGACAGCCCAGACCACTCCCAACAATGTATATCAGCACAGCTCTGAAGCAAAAGTCCCTTGGCCTTGCTGGGCACGAGGTGCAACACAGCCCCTTCCAGGGACAACAACGGGGGGGGGGGGAGGAAGAGGCCAGCCTCCAGGGTCAAGTTCTGGCACAGGTTTGCTCACCATCAGCCATCTGGAGATGAAGTTCAGAGCTCAAACAGAGCAACGGCTGCGGCAGGGACACCGAGCACGGGGACGAGTCCTGTTAAGACTAGGGATGCACATTCGGCTTTCCCGAACCGGAAAAAAAAACCCCGAATAAATACCTCGTTGGTATTTATCCGTAGTTTAAAAGCCGAATGCAAATTCAGGAAACATTTCGGCTTCCGAATACAGTTTCCCGAATTTATTCGGCATTTTCGGCTTTCGGGTAGCCGAAAACCGGCTGTGCCTTCCCTAGTCAATTTCACTCCTCACCAGTCAGCTATGCTGGGAGTGAAAAATGACCTGGCAAAGCCTACTCTCTACGTTTCCTTCTCCAGCTACCCCAGGGCTGCTGGAGAAGCAAAGGCAGAGAGCCTAGCCATGTTTAAATGCCTTTCTTTCCCTCTCTCAGTTCGGGGAGGAAGAGAAAGGCATCTAAACATGCCTGGGTTCCCGCCCTGCTGCTTCTCCAGGGGCCCCGTGGCTGTGGGGCAACTGGAGAGGGGCAGGCAAGGAGCCCAGGCTGCCCTGTGATTTCCCAGCCCCCCCCCGCCGCAGCTGGGAGCGCACAGGGCAAGCATGGAAACATGTCTCTTCCCCCCCTTGAGATTTTCCGCAGCAGCGGAGAAACTCAAGGGGGGAAGGGGAAAAAAGCAAGGAGGGAGAGAAAGGAATCTAAACATGCCTGGGTTCCCTCCCTGCGCTTTTCCAGGGGCAGGGAAGGAGCCCAAGCATGCTTCCATGCCTGTCCCATATGCTCCCAGCCCCCACGCCATGGCGAGGGGGGTGCTGGGAGCATGAGGGGCAGGCATGGAAGCATGCCTCTTTCCCCCTGAGCTTCTCCGCAGTGGCAGAGAAGCTCAATGGGGGAAGGGGGGGGAGAAGAGCTTTTTTTCCTCCCTCCCCCTTGAGCTTCTCTGCCACTGCAGAGAAACTCAAGGGGGGGAAGAGGCATGTTTCCACGCCTGCCCTGTGCACTCCCAGCCCCCCGCCACCGGCTTAAATGGCTTAAACCTAACAACTGACTGGCGGGGAATGAAATTGACAAAGAAAGCCGAACTGGCTTCTAGAGGGAAAGAAGGCATTTTCACATGCCCCCCTTCCCTCCTGTCAGGCATATCAGACTCGAATATATATTCGGGAATACCGAATATTTCCCCAGTCCGATACTTTACCAGTATTGGACTGGGGATATTCGGCATTTACTGATATTTTTTGGGTCTGATAAAACCCGAATCCGAAAAATACCGACTTTTTTTTTTTTGCACACCCCTAATTAAGGCCAGCCCATGGGTCCAGGCTGACAGAACTAGTAAGATGTAGCAGTTGGGAGAAAAGATCCCAAATGCGATGCCCGTGGGCACCATGGTGGCCACCACAAGACTTCCTGGGACCTGTCAAGTGTTTTCGTAAAGTGGTAAGTCCAGATGGACCTACTGACTAGCAAGGCTTCTGATTGGCCACTGGAGATCTGACTGGCTGTGCAGACTTTTAAAATACTCCTTGGGCAGCTGCTGCCAACACAGCACGAGGACCTTCACTGTGTGACTGAAGGTGAGATGGAGCAGCCATTAATGTGGCTGTCTCCACCTCCTGTGGCAGCCATTTTGTGGCAGCCATTTTGTGGCTGTCTCCACCTCCTGTGGCAGCCATTTTGAGGCTGTCTCCACCTCCTGTGGCAGCCATTTTGTGGCAGCCATTTTGTGGCTTCACCCACCACACTGCATCAGAATTCCAAAGGTGCCCGCAGGCTCAAAACGTTTGGGGACCCGAGTTAGCGCATAGGACTAGGAACAAGGAAACCTGGGCTCAAGCCCCCCTCAGCCACGAAGCCCAACGGACTGGTCTTGGGTCAGGCCCTACCTTCCCTCTCCAGCTAAGTCACCTCACATTTTAGCCTTGTTGCTAGGAGAGAACCATGTGTCTGCTGCCCTAAGCCTGCAAGAAAGGCAGGATACAAAATAAAGAGGGAAGCATTTTTGTTTTATTTTTAGGAAAGAGCAGGCGAAAGGTTGTGCAGCCTGGGCAGGCAGCCAACCTGGGAGCTGCCACAGACCCACGGCTCTTCCTGCCTCCAGCCATCCCCTCCTCCCTCCCCCGCACAGAACTCACCCAGGCTGGGCTTGAGGTGCAGCTGGCCTTCTTCGGAGCCCCCCGGGCCCTCGAGGTTCAGCTCTTGATCCCGCTTCCCCGGGGAGCCAAAGGAAGACTCTGCCGCCTCGCCCTCTGTTCAACAAAAGAGCAGTCAGAGGGCTCCCCTCCTCCAAGCCACCCCCCCCTTTGAGAGGCGACACACGTGCCTGGCTCCTGGCAGGGCCCGCGAAGGACTTCGGGAATTGTTACGCACATCTTCTATTGGGATCTCGATTTCTAAAGCAAACGTTTTGCAAGTCTCCTCAGAGACACTGGCCTTCTCCCGTGCTCGGACAGCAAATGGGAGTCCTTTTTTTTTCTTTTCCCAAAAACAATTTATTAGGATATAATAAGAAACAGTTCAAACATAGTTCAAAACTTATACCATTATATATCCATCCCTCCTCCCTTCCCGACTTCCCACCGTGCTCCAACCTCCAGCCCAATTCTTACGTTTTCTCTATAGCTCCTTCACCCCTTGTTCATATCCACAGGTAACTTATCCTTCAGTTGCTATTCTTATACATTTATCTATTTTCTACTGTCTTTTAATCTTCAATAGTTCTCAAAGCAAAGTAAATTGTCCTTTACACCCCAAGCAAATGGGAGTCCTTTGAGGAGGACCTAGACGAGAAGCAGACATTTCTCCCTCTTCGCCCAGCTGCAGGAGGGTCCTTCCCTGCCCCCTCTGGGACAAAGGACGGAAGTCAGACGCTTACTTGCATTCAGGTACCATGCAGCATTCCATTTCACTTTTTGTGCTAAACTTTTTTGACACACTCGCTTTGCAGGCGTTGGTTCCTTCTGGGTGGCTGCAATTTCTTCTCAGTACGTTTTAGTGGATTCGGTCAGCGACACGCAACTTCTCGCAAATTTGGGGTGTGCGTGCATGTGTGTGTGTGTGTGTGCGTCTTAACTTTGCTGCAGGCAAAGTAACAGAGCCTCATATGCCGCCACACTGACATACTGACTCTGGCTCGGGACACAAGAAGCCGCCTTCCGCCGCAGAGTGAGACCGTTGGGCCTGCTGAAGTCAGGGCGCTTCCACACACGCGGAGTGACGCACTTTGCCGCTGGGCTTTATTATGCGAGATGGCAAAACCCACCGGCAAACTGTTGCTGAAGTGGACTGAAACTGCATGACTTCGCAAGCGTGAGGGCCCCCTGAGCCTTGCCTCCTGACGGGCAGCGGCTCTCCGGAGTCGCAGGCGGAGAAAGGCCTTTCACCTCCTCTCCCTTTTAACTGGGAATGCTGCTGGAGTGGCGACTGGACTTGGGGCCTTCTGCATGCACAAGGCAGGTGCTTCGCCACTGAGCCACCCCCCACCCCCACGGGGCTCACGACAGCTCTGAGCGACCGGTGGGGCCTCCCACAACCTGGCGTCTTTCACTCACCTGGACTGGTGACGCTTGGACGTCGTGTCCTTCCTTCGGCCTCCCCCTGGTCTCTCACGTGAACGTTTTCTCCTCCTTCGGTAGGACGGGACAGGACAGGCCTAAACACCAACACTTCTTTTTCAGGATGGGGGGGGGGGGAAGGAGAGAAAGACAAATAAGTTGGCTCCCTCTACTTTGCACCCCACCAAGCTAACTTGGCCATTTCTTAAAATTCCAGGGGAGCTAAAAGCTGGTTCGTGGCTCCGCTTTCCTACAACCACAGCAATATCGGAGACACAATTCTATACTGGTAGCCTAAATTCAGGCCTATGGGCCTCGCCCCGTCAGAATGTCTTGAGGCCGCTTCCTGAGATGAACTTTCACCCAGAACGGGAATCCTAACAGGGTTGTGTCTCTGGGAGAGTGATAACCCTTCCGCATGTGCTGGAGTCGGAGGAAGGAAGAGAACCGCATTCCAAGCTGGTCACCCGTGCCACCCCCACGTCTTCTCCCGGTCCAAGTCAACAACAGCGTCTGAGCCGGCCCCTCACCTGGGCTGGGTTCTGCAGGAATCTCTCTCTCTTTGGAGGCCTCTTCCTCGGCCGCACAGGGAGGTTCCCCTTGCTCAATCCGGGACAGGAGGTCAGGCTTTGCGATGGCATAATCTGCGGGAGAAAGAAGACTGAGCAGACGATTCCTGTTTTAAGGGAGGGCGGGGATGTTGCTGACACTACTGCTGCAAATAAAAGGCATGCCAAGGGCCAGGCGGGAGATGGATCCGGCAGGGCAGATCTCTCCTCTCCCGCTTCCCCAGACAGCTTGCTATTTAGACGAAAGCTCCTCTGAGGATTGGTGGCGCCTCTCAGGCAAAAGGTGCCATGGGACAGGGTGCTCCGGCAGCGAGGGCAAAGAAGGCCAAACGGCTTCTCCCTGCAGATGGAAGCCTCAAAAGCCTCCTGAGAGAACAGCTGTGAAAGAACTTGTGACCAGTCTTCCCTCTAAGCTGAGTTAGTGTGAGCTACCTCACATTTTTTAGCCTCCAGCTCACAGAGTTTTGTCTTAGGCCAGGAAGGATGGCTCCACAGCAAACTAATTGATGCAGCAGCCAAATCGCTCACTCACAAGTTCGCTCACAAAAGTAGAATTTTTGCTCACAAGACTCCACAGCTTAGAGGGAGCATTGCTTGTGACTGACCCAAGGTCACACCAGCAGCTGCATATGGAGGAGAATCAAACCAAGTTCTCCAGGTTAGAGTCCGCTGCTCTTAACCACTACCCCAGAGGGCTGTCCCCAGCATGGCAAAAAGCAGAGAGGGAGACAGAAAATGTGGGGTCAACAGCAGAACTATGGGTATGGAAGGAGGAATTAAGAGAAGGTTTCAGTCCAACTCTCCGGTCACTTTTTGATGTGATGAAACCTAAGGTGATTTCACCTAATAGATTACTAAGCATATTTAAATGGGGGGGGGGGGGGAAGAAGTATTTAAATGGGGGGGGGGGGGGAATACATAATCATTTTAAGAGATTTGTTTCACACAATGAAAATTGGGCTTGCGTTCATTACCATGTGCCAAAAGGGATGGTTTTCAAAACAGGCTGTGTTTATGACTACAGTTTACTCTGCTGTGAAAAGCAGCAGTGCATCCAATCGCCATGTTGTTCCCCAGAGAAAAGACAGGGGGTTGGGTGGGGTTGAGCAAGACTGCTATGCTCAAATCATGGCACAGACCGCAGTGCAACAAAAGATAACTTGAGAATTGGGGCACAAAACCCTCCGATGTAAATCCTGTCCGTATCTCACACAATTCACCAGGTGCACTGAACCGATTTCAACCTTCCCTCACCTCCTTGGCGCAAGGCAGCTCTGTTTACTTTGTGAACTGAGACTCATCTACTGCCTCAGAATGAACATCTGAATGAACAGAATGGACGCTTTCAAGCGGAGGCTGGACGACCATCTTTCGGGGATGTTGTGGTGGGGCTCTCTTTCAGCTCTGCTCCTGCAGAGTGCAGGGGGTCAGACTAGATGACCTGCGAGGTACCTTCCAGCCGTAACACTCTATTATTATTATTTTATTATTATCTCATTGAGAAGGCACTCCATCCCCTCTTTAATCAGGGCTCCTCTCCTCACCCTGATCATTCCACGACAGTCTGTCACATGGCACCAGCCGCTCTGTGGCTGGGAGCTGCCAAAGGCGCTACCAGGACATATCCCCGGCACGGAGCAGGGGTATTTAAGCAGAGCAGCAAAGAGGCAAACCGGCTTGGGAGCACCGGACTTTGGTCACCAGTCACTCACGGGATGGGGAGACTGGGCCAGAAGTCAAGGGTTCGCGGAGGAAAAAATCAGACAAGAACTACTCGGGTCCAGTGTTCCCTCTAAGCTGAGTTAGTGTAAGCTAGCTCACAGTTCTTTAGCCTCCAGCTCACACATTTCTGTCTTAGCTCAGGAAGGGACGGCTCCAGAACAAACTAATGTATGCAGTAGCCAAGTCGCTCGCTCACGACTTTAGTGACAGTAGTTCACAAAGTAGAATTGTTGCTCAGAAGACTCCACAGCTTAGAGGGAGCATTGACTGAGATACCTGCTGAAAACCCCATTCCTCTGCAGCATTTCTAAAAAAGGGAGCAGGGTTTGGCTCTTTCTGTCGCAGGCAGCCAGCAGAGATGAGGGCTGGTGCGGTGAGGAGCGTCGGATTAGGATCTGGGAGGAGTGGGTTCGGATCCCTGACTCAGCCGTGGAAGCCTGCCAAGGTCCCCACCTTGGGCGGTCACAATCTTGATGTTGTGAGGCTTCAGGAGGGTGGGGGGAAGAATGCACAAACCTGGTTTGGCCCCCAATCGGGGAGAACAGTAAAGTAAAGGTAAAGGTTTCCCTTGCTCGAAAGCCAGTCGAATCCGACCCTAGGGGGCAGTGCTCGTCTCCGTTTCCAAGCTGAAGAGCCAGCGCTGTTCAAAGACTTCTCCATGGTCATGTGGCCAGCATGACTAAACACTGAGGCACACGGAACGCTGTTCCCTTCCCACCGAAACGGTACCTATTTATCTATTTGCAATTTCTTGCTAGGTTGGCAGGAGCTGGGGCCAGAGATGGGCGCTCACTCCGTCACATGGCACTAGGGTCTCAAACTGCTGAATTACAGGCCTTCCGGTCTGCAGTTCAGCGTCTTAACTTCTGAGCCACTGCGGCGATGCAAAAACCCAGTTTGGCCCCCAATCAGGGAGAATAGCAGGATGTAAATAAAAATAAGCGATAAACACAGATAACTCTTGCACGTTCTAATGGGCCTGGCTTGGATAATATTTATGGAAGCCTCAAAAGTTTACTCTCTGCCATCAACCAGACACTGAAGGAAGAGGAAATTCAATTAAAGGAAAACCCAGCTGGACCTTAAAGGAACATCACAAGATCCAGCCTCAGCAATCAAGGAGCAGTTTATAAAGGAACATAAGAACGTAAGAGAAGCCAGTGTTGGGTCAGGCCAATGGCCCCTCCAGTCCAACACTCTGTTGTCACACAGGGGCCAAAAATACCAGGGGCCATCAGGAGATCCAGCAGTGGTACCAGGGCACTAGAAGCCCTCCCACTGCTGCCCCCCCCCAGCACCAAGAATACAGAGAGCATCCCTTGCCCCAGACTGAGAGTTCCTCTCTATACCTTGTGGCTAATAGCCACTGATGGACCTCTGCTCCATATGTTTATCCATAAGAACATAAGAGAAGCCAATGCTGGATCAGGCCAATGGCACATCCAGTCCAACACTCTGTTGTCACACAGTGGCCAAAAATACCAGGTGCCATCAGGAGGTCCAGCAGTGGGGTCAGGACACCAGAAGCCCTCCCACTGTTGCCCCCCCCCCGAAGCACCAAGAATACAGAGCATCACCTGCCCCCAGACTGAGAGTTCCTATCTATACCTTGTGGCCTCTGCTCCATATGCTTATCTAATTCCCTCTTGAAGCCATCCATGCTTGTAGCCGCCACCACCTCCTGTGGCAGTCAATTCCATGTGTTAATCACTCTCTGGGTGAAGGAGGACTTCCTTTTATCCGTTCTCACCCGACTGCTCAGCCATTTCGTGGAGTGCCCACGAGTTCTTGTATTGTGAGAAAGGGAGAAAAGGATCTCTTTCTCTACCTGTTCTTTCCCATGCATAATCTTGTAAACCTCGATCATGTCACCCCTCAGCCGTCGTTTCTCCATCCTAAAGAGCCCTAAGCGCTTTAACCTTTCCTCATAGGGAAAGTGTCCCAACCCTTTTATCATTCGAGTTGCCCTTTTCTGCACTTTTCCCAAAGCTATAATATCCTTTTTGAGGTATGGTGACCAGAACTGTACACAGTACTCCAAATGAGGTCGCACCATCGATTTATACAGGGACATTAAGGTCGTAAAATCATGGAGTTGGACGGGACCTTCAGGGTCATCCGGTCCAACCCCCCTGCACAATGCAGGAAATTCATAGGCAGGAAATGTAGTCTTTACCCAGAGAGACCAGGGACTCGTAATTGCTCTTCATGACGTTCTTGTAGAGCTCCTTCTGCCACCCCTCCAGGTTTCCCCAGTCCTGCTCAGAGAAGTAGGCGGAGTTGTCCTGAAAGGTCACCGGCACCTGGAATCAGAAGAGTCATAGAGTTAGACTAGCAAGGGTGGCCAGCTGGCCTCCTTTCCACTCCGGCACCCGTTTCTGCCCCCTTCTGCACTACCGGGACGTGACTCCTTAGGAATCCTTCCTCCGCCACCTACACAGCCGGCAAACTGAAGACGTCGAAGGAAACGCATCTTCCAAGTATCTAGAACAGGCGTCTTTGCAAAGGCTGCCTGGAAAATGTCATAACTATGGGGACGCCTCCTATCAAGTTACACTGACTACACGGACTTTATGTCTTATCTTCAAAGGAGGAAATATTAGTATCTTATGCCTTATTATTGTTACAGGATGCACTAATGTTGTTGTTGGGACACCACCAACTTTATAATTGTTTAATATATTGTTTGGCAATTTCTGATGGTGTTTTCTACTAGTGGAATTTGTATAGATGGCTCACAGGAAGGCTGCTCGGGGCAAACGGGGCTGAGAAATTGTCTGGCTGTCCATATCCCGTCGCTTTCCCCAAGAGACAAGCTCGCTTTCCATGCCTCCCACTCCTGTCCAGACCATCTTTTAGGGAGGAGGAAGAAGAAGAAGAAAAAGAAGAAGAAGAGAGGAGGAGGAGGAGGAGGAGGAGGAAGAGGAGGAGGATTGGATTTCTACCCCGCCCTTCACTACCCAAAGGAGTCTCAGAGCGGCTTACAAACTCCTTTCCCTTCCCCTCCCCGCAACATTCACCCTGTGAGGTGGGTGTGGCTGAGAGAGCTCTGACAGAAACGGCTCTTTTTCAAGGACAGCTCTTGTCAGAGCTATGGCTTGCCCAAGGTCATCCAGCCAGGTGCAAGTGGAGGAGGAGTGGGGAATCAAGCCTGGTTCTCCCAGATTAGAGTCCGCACTCCTAACCACTACACCAAACTGGCTGCATCTGACAGCACGCCAACTCACAACTGCTCCACTGCTTACTGCTTCTGGAGTGCTGAGCTTGCCCTTCTGCCAGCAAGTGAGCGCTAATTCTGCAAACATCGTACTCTTTATGTTCAGACTACAGTTATGAAGCATTTGGGGATGGCTGTAGTTTCTGTAGGACATGCACTCTGTTACCACCATCTTCCTACGCAGGGGTCATTTCATAGAAAAAGAGCTAGGGGAACTCATTAGCATAACTCATTAGCATAGGCCACACCCCCTGACATCAGGGGCCTGGCGGTGGACCTGCAAGGCCAGCAGGAGTGCGAGGAAGCCCCGCCAAGGCCCTCCCTGTGGCTGCATCTGACAGCACGCCAACTCACAACTGCTCCACTGCTTACTGCTTCTGGAGTACTGAGCTTCCTCTTGTGCCAGCAAGTGAGCGCTAATTCTGCAAACATCGTAGTCTTTATGTTCAGACTACAGTTATGAAGCATTTGGGGATGGCTGTAGTTTCTGTAGGACATGAACTCAGTTACCACCACCATCTTCCTACGACTATGCTGATTGAGACAATCCAGACCTCCGAGCTGTATTATTAGACATGATAAAGAAGTCCGCAGTTGCTCCTCGCCTTGCCTGTCCACACAGATCAGTGGCCCAGCATAAACATCATGCTGCCCACCACTTGGGAGCCGGCCTCTGGATGACATGCCCCCTCCCCCTACAGCCATTCTCCCCTCGTTTCCTGGCGCTCAACTATGCTTGAGCCAGTTTGGTGCAGTGGTGAAGCGTGTGGACTCTAATCTGGGAGAAGCGGGTTTGATTCCCCACTCCTCCGCTTGCACCTGCTGGTGTGAACCTTGAGTCAGTTGCAAGTTCTCTCAGAGCTGGTCTCTCAAGAGCAGTCCTTGAGAGAGCTCTCTCAGCCCCACCTACCTCACAGGCAATACTCCCTCTAAAGTGTGGAGTCTTGTGAGCAAAAATTCTACCTTGTGAGCTCATGGCATTACAGCTGTGAGCGAGCCATTTGGCCACTGCATAAATTAGTTTGCTCTGAACCCATCTTTCCTGAGCTAAGACAGAACTGTGTGAGCCGGAGGCTAAAAAACTGTGAGCTAGCTCACGCTAACCCAGCTTAGAGGGAACACTGCTCACAAGGTGTCTGTTGTGGGGAGGGGGAAGGAAAGGAGTTTGTAACCTGCTCTGAGACTCCCTTGGGTAGTGAAGGGTGGGGTATAAAGCCAATCTCTTCTTCTTCTTAAAACTGTACATTATGTCTGTACTAAGGAAGCCACAAAAGCCCTCAGTTTGCAACACCTGAGCAAGGCTGTTTAGGACAGGAGGAGAGGGAGATGGAGAGGGATTTATACCTTGCTTTTCACTACCCAAAGGAAGAAGAGATTGGATTTATACCCTGCCCTTCACTCAGAGTCTCAGGGTGGCTCACGGTCTCCTTTCCATCCCCCTCCCCACAACAGACACCCTGTGAGGGAGACGGGGCTGAGAGAGCTCTTTCGAGGACTGCTCCTGAGAGAACAGCTCTGAAAGAACTTGCGACTGACCCAAGATCACACCAGAAGCTGCATGTGGGGGGGGGGAATCAAACCCAGCTCTCCCAGCTTAGAGTCCGCGCTCCTAACCACGACACCAAACTAATTCACAGGGCCGCCAATGTCAGAAGTGGCTTGAAGGCACTTAACACAAGAGACGCACGGCAGAGCAAGGAACTACATGCAAGTCCTCACAATGCGGTGGGGAAAAATCCACCAGACTCTTCCCCACCAGCGTTAAAGCTGAAAAGGCTTTCCGCAACAGACCCTTTATAGTACATCCATTCCAGGCACAAAGAGGTCTGAGGAGGTCAGCAGCGGGCGCTGCCAGTGTCTTCCCCACCGCAGCACCAAGCAGCCTGACCTTGGGGGTCTCCCCCTTGGAGCCCGGGGGCAGCCTGAGGATCCAGAAGTTCCGGTTCTTGAGCAGGTTCTCCATGTTCTCCAGCCTCCGCTGCAGCAGCCCGTACTCCTGGATCAGGGTGCCCAGCGCGTTCAGCTTGCACTCCATCTGGTTGCCAAAGTCCACCACCGTGTTCTCACAGTCCACGTACTTCTTCTCGTTTGTCACCATCCTCCTCCCCAGGTTCAGCACAGCAGCCGCGTGGCGTGAGAGTCCACCTTCCTCTCTATGGCTTGGATCGCGGCCACCACCGTCCACAGGGAGAGCTCAGCGACGTTCTGCTTGGCATCTCTGACAAAACTCTGCTCGGCCGGCAACGGCACCGCCTGTCGGGGCTCCATGTCGCAACGCTGAGGCTACTGGCGAGGAGAAAACACTCAATTAATGTCATTTGGCTGGGTTTATAACTAACCCCGTCCCTAGGAGTCAAGCGAGTGCTGCTCCTTATGTTAACAGTATAGATAGTACGATTTGCCTTTTATGCCTGGAGGTGGCCTTGAACCTCATAGTCGCAATCAGGTAATATTTTGGACCAGTTTACGCTTTCTTTTGCGTGCATAAAGCACTTAAGCCTCCTCAAGCAAGATTCAGACAGACTTTGCCTGATTCAGAGACGGCTGCAGCCATGAATAAGAACATAAGAGAAGCCAATGTTGGATCAGGCCAGTGGCCCATCCAGTCCAACACTCTGGGTCACATAGTGGCCAAAAATGCCAGGTGCCATCAGGAGGTCCAGCAGTGGGGCCAGGACACTAGAAGCCCTCCCACTGTTGACCCCCCCCCCAAGCACCAAGAATACAGAGCATCCCTTGCCCCAGACTGAGAGTTCCTATAAGAACATAAGAGAAGCCAATGTTGGATCAGGCCAGTGGCCCATCCAGTCCAACACTCTTCTGTGTCACACAGTGGCCAAAAATACCAGGGGCCATCAGGAGGTCCAGCAGTGGGGCCAGGACAACAGAAGCCCTCCCACTGTTGCCCCCCCCCAGCACCAAGAAGACAGAGCATCCCTTGCCCCAGACTGAGTGTCCCTGTCTATACCTTGTGGCTAAGAGCCACTGATGGACCTCTGCTCCGTATGTTTATCCATAAGAACATAAGAGAAGCCAATGCTGGATCCGGCCAATGGCCCCTCCAGTCCAACACTCTGTGTCACACAGTGGCCAACAATACCAGGTGCCCTCAGGAGGTCCAGCAGTGGGGCCGGGACACATGAAGCCCTCCCACTGTTTTCCCCACCCCCAAGCACCAAGAATACAGAGCATCCCTTGCCCCAGACTGAGAGTTCCTACCTATACCTTGTGGCTAACAACCACTGATGGACCTCTGCTCCAGATGTTTATCCATAAGAACATCAGAGAAGCCAATGCTGGATCAGGCCAGTGGCCCATCTAGTCCAACACTCTGTCACACAGTGGCCAAAAATACCCAGTGCCATCAGGTGGTCCACCAGCAGAGCCAGAACTCCAGAAGCAGTCCCACGGTTGCCCCCCAAGCACCAAGAAGACAGAGCGTCACTTGCCCCAGACAGAGTGTTCCATCTATACCTTGTAGCTAAAGTCACTGATGGACCTCTGCTCCATGTTTATCTAATCCCCTCTTGAAGCTGTCTATGCTTGTAGCTGCCACCACCTCCTGCAGCAGTGAATTCCAAATAATTACTCTTTGGGTGAAGAAATACTTCCTTTCATCTGTTCTAAACCTACTGCTCATTAATTTCCTTGAGTGCTCACTATTCCTCGTATTGCAAGAAAGGGAGAAAAGTACTTCTTTCTCTGCCTTCTCTATCCCATGCATAATTTTGTAAACCTCGATCATGTCACCTCTCAGTCATCATTTCTCCAAGCTAAAGAGCTCTAACCTCTTTAACCTTTCTTCATAGTGGTACTTGCGGTGTTATGGGAGTTAAGAATATTTGTTTTATTAGTTATTTATTTAGAAAATGTCTGTACCACCTCTCCATAGAACCTGCTCAAGGTGGCTTACAGAATAAAACATAATAATAAAAACAACATGCCATGTGCTAACAATTTTAAAATAATTTAAAAACCCAGGCAGAGCATAAAACACTAAACAATGTAAAATGAATCTCTGGACATTTCAGACTAGGAGCTGGCTAGTCTTACTGGGAGAGGCAGACTATAAATAACATAAACAAATAAATACAATGGTAAAAGATTAACCTGGTCATTAAAAGCCCGGATAAAGAGAAACGTTTTGACCCAGTGAACCTCAAGGGAACGGCATTCCACCCCTTCCTTCCGTTCGCCACCCACCTCGCCACTGAAGGTATGAGCAGAGAAAAGCAGGGTTTGTAAGCAATGCTCCCTCTAAGCCGTGGAATCTTGTGAACAAAAATCCTACTTTGTGAGCTCCTGGCATTAAAGTTGTGAGCCAGCGATTGGGCTGCTGCATCAATTAGTTTGATCTGGACAATCCTTCCTGAGCCAAGACAGAAACGTGTGAGCCAGAGGCTAAAAAACTGTGAGCTAGCTCACACTAACTCGGCTTAGAGTGAACACTGCTTGTAAGGGAGATCTCAGCTGGTGGGCCAGACAGTACGGGAGAAGGCAGTTCTCTGGGTACCCTGGGTCCCAGACCATTAGGACTTTCAAAGTAAAAACCAGCACTTTTGCATGGTGCCCAGAAACAGACCGGCAGGCCATACATATCTTTCAGCAAAAACAACCTGGTAGCTGCGTTTTGAACGAGGTAAAGTTTCTGGTCCATTATCAAATGCAACTCTACGTAGAGAACTTTACAGTAATCTAACCCGGATGTGATCAGAGATTGGACCACCACAGTGATAGCACATGTTTCGAAGAATGGCTGTAACTGGCATACTAGCTAGAACTAACGAAAGGTGCTACGTGCCACAGAGGAGACTGGAGCCTCCAACTCTAGTCCAGGATCCAACAGCACTTTTTCTTTTGTTGTTGTTCAGTCGAACAGTCGAGTCCGACTCTTCGTGACCCCATGGACCGGAGGCAGCAATCACTACCATCCCAAAGAAAAAGAAATGCAAGAAAGCAAAGTGGCCGTCTGATGAGGCTTTACAAATAGCAGAGGAAAGAAGGAAAGCGAAAGGCAAAGGCGAAAAGGAAAGATTTACCCAACTGAATGCAGATTTCCAGAGAACAGCAAGGAGAGATAAGGAGGCCTTCCTGAATGAAAAATGCAAAGTAATAGAGGAAAACAATAGAATGGGAAGGACTAGAGATCTCTTCAAGAAAATTGGAGAAATCAAGGGAGCGTTCCATGCAAAGCTGGCCATGATAAAGGACAAAAACGGTAGGGACCTAACAGAAGCAGAAGAGATTAGGAAAAGATGGCAAGAATACACAGAAGAACTATACAAGAAAGACCTCAATGTCCTTGACAAACACGACGGTATAATCACTGACCTTGAGCCAGACATCCTGGAATGTGAAGTTAAATGGGCCTTAGAAAGCATTAGTAACAACAAAGCTAGTGGAGGTGATGGTATTCCAGCTGAGCTATTCAAAGTCTTAAAAGATGATGCTGTTAAAGTGCTGCACTCAATTTGCCAGCAAATTTGGAAAACGCAACAGTGGCCACAGGATTGGAAAAGATCAGTATACATTCCAATCCCAAAGAAGGGCAACGCCAAGGAATGTTCAAACTATCGCACAATTGCACTCATATCACACGCTAGCAAGGTCATGCTCAAGATCCTACAAGCTAGGCTTCAACAGTACGTGGATAGAGAACTACCAGAAGTACAAGCTGGGTTTCGAAGAGGTAGAGGAACGAGAGATCATATTGCCAACATTCGCTGGATTATGGAGAAAGCAAGAGAGTACCAGAAAAATATCTACTTCTGCTTCATTGACTATGCTAAAGCCTTTGACTGTGTGGATCACAACAAACTATGGCAGGTCCTTAAAGAGATGGGAGTACCAGACCACCTCACATGTCTCTTGAGAAACCTGTATAAGGGCCAAGAAGCGACAGTTAGAACCGGATACGGAACAACTGATTGGTTCAGCATAGGAAAAGGAGTAAAAAATACCTGGGAAAGCCTACTAGCAGACAGTTTGCTATGGGCAGTTGCCGGAATACCTATGTGTGGTCGCTCAAGGTAGCTCTTGACGCGTGCCGAAAACACCCACCAACAAATAAAACCCCACTCTGCCGCCGCGGCATCTGATTGCGTTCTGGCGTGTTAAATTGCGCCGGCACGAAATGCCACGCCCCCCCCCCC